TCGGCTACTGTTTTAAAAGAATGTTGAAAAAGGGGTTATAGTCCATTAAGAATAGATTTTATAGCTTCGAAGATCATTAGCAAAATATTTCAATTCTAATCAATTTTACTCGGTTGTTTTTAAGTCTTAGAGAGGAATATAACTGACTATAACCCATTAAATTTCAGTGCAGGTGAGCTGAACCCCTGTTGAACCCATTTGATCAATAAAAACACAGGGTTCAATTCTAGCAAGTGTTCTGCTTTGCAAGATTTAATTTTAGGATGATGACGCGTTAGTGTAAGCTTCCGGCTCGGATAAACAACAGTTTATCTCCAGTGCAAGCTTCCATCTCTAAAAAACAGTTTTGCTTTGATGAATCACTTTAAGGTTTGATTCATGTGTAGTCGATACCAACGAACGCATGGTGGCTGAATATCGTACAATTTAATCATTGTAACAAATTTTCTTTTGTTCTTCATGAATAGTAAAACAAAAAAAAACACTGAACTATAAAAATTGGTTCCACGGCCAATGTTTCCAGCAGACTCATACATTTTTGCAGGTGTTTATGAAAATAAAAATGCAAAATTTGTACCTCTAAATTTATTTATTGCTTTATTTAACAAGACTCAGCAAAATCTGGAGAAATTTTTTGTTTTTTGATAAATTGAAATTCTATTGATAATCTTTCTTATCAATAAGCTTCACGAGTGTTCAATTCAGACTTTACATTTGTATGTTACACATCAAAGGGACTTTCAGAATCAATTTTGACTTATTTCACCAACAGTAATGATTCCAAAATTGGCACTTAATTCTTCTGCAATTGTAAAAAACTTTCAGCACCGGCCCCATTTAGATGTTTTGAGGGGTCTGGCTTGCATAGCAGTTATTCTATTTCATTGCGACTTGCCAGAATTTTCAAACGGTTTCCTCGGAGTTGATGTGTTTTTTGTCCTCTCCGGATTTCTTATCACTTCAATTTTGCTTCGAAGTATTCAAATTGACGGTCAAATTAACTTCGGCAACTTTTATTGTCGGCGCTTCATAAGACTGTTTCCTGCGTCGGCATTCGTTCTTTTTACGACTGCGATTTTTTACCGAAGCGTCGAATTACCCAGTTATGTATCTAAACATGCCAAATCGTTTGTCGCGTCGGCACTTTATTTCGAAAACTGGCACGGACTGAAAGTGGTAATGGATTATTTTCACGATAAGGGCTCGGACCAAAGTCCTGTAGTACATTTTTGGTCATTGTCAATTGAAGAACAATTTTATGCATTTTTTCCAGCAATTCTTGCCTTAATTACCAAATTATGCCGCAAAAGATGCGCTTATATTCTTATGATTTTCATTTTGATGTTAATTCTATCAGTAATTGCAAATGTACAATTGTACAATCGTTCTCAATTGGCTTCATATTTTTCAACATTTGGTCGACTATATCAACTGTTAACGGGAAGCATAGCTGCGATTATTGTTTGCTGGGTTGAAATTAGAGATCTATCAAACTCTGAAATCAAAAAAAGAAACTCGAAATCAAAACAAATCAACTTTTTATTTGATTACGGGTCAGCTTTTCTGTTGGTTATTACGACAGTTCTGCTGGCAAAACTAAACTTTAACACTTTGGTTCTCGGAATGTTGGCAACGTTTTCAACTTTTACTCTTATTCTTACTTTGGAGTTTTCCACAAATGAAACACTGATTTCAAAGTATTTTTTGCAAAGTTCTGTTTTAAGCCGTATTGGAAAGTATTCATATGGTATGTACCTTTGTCATGTACCAATAGCGAAAATAGGAGACATACTGAGGTTTTTACCCAGTCATGGACCATATCGGGCCATAGTTATATTATTTATGACGTTCATGATTTCGGCCATAGTCTGGCACCTAGTTGAAAACCCAGTAAAAACCCATGTTTCAATCAGCGAGAAAAACCAAAGCGAAACTTTGTTGGTTTTTATAATATCAACTATCGTTTTGGCATATTTTCTGCACGTTTTCCTAGGCAAAAACTCTGTGCCGGCGCTGGAAAATAGTTTCGGCTCAATAAATGACCAGGTTATAGCGCCACCTAAGCTAACGACTTGTGAAAAGTTGGCAAAGTTTGGGTCTATTTTTTTAGCCGGAGATTCGTACACACAGGCTTGGAAAAGTGCATTTGAAAAACACCGCAGAAGTTGCAAGATTACTTATAAGTATAACGCGGTGGTTAAAGGGGCAGCATTGTACTTGCCTATTTCTAAACAATTCGATTTGCGACCGAAAACATTCAACGATTTGAGTGGCTTTCATTCGTTTATTAATCAGTATATCACCCAGCAGCGACCAAACACGACTATATTTTTCACCAAGCATCTTCATCATGCTGAAATGTGGTACAAGAATTTCGAAAGAGTTTCAGTTGCTGACATAGCAACTTGGAAACTACTAGTTCGCGAACTTTATGTTGACTTTATTTCATTTGTTACAAAGTTTACAACTCCGATTTTTGTTATCGAACATCCTCATCCAGAAAACGACGACCCAAGACCATGTTTAAAATGGTTGGAACGAAAATATGGAGTCGGAAACTTTCAAAATCATTCAAATGAGTGCACCATACGTATCGAGTACGATGTAGGTGTTGACTACCTTCATACTCTGTTCTCCGAACTGAAGTTGAAGTTCAAAAACTTCTATTTTGTAGACTTGGGATTCGTTTTGTTTCAAACTAAGTCTACAAACTTCAAAATACCTTTAATTTACAATGGAGTCTCAACTTTCGGCGACCCAGCTCATCTTGGATTCGACTTTGTGTTTCAGAAGTTTCCTGATTTCATTGAAGAATTGCATCGACAGATGTACTCAGAAAACGGCTATTCATTCAACTCAACTCATCTTAATTAGGACTGATATCCAATTTAAAAAAGCGCTTTTGTTATACCCGCATCCAAGTTTAGGCGTAAATATTTAATTATAACCGACTATTATGATAATTTTTTGACGATTATAATTGATTATAATTACAAAAATTAGCTGTTTAAAGGATCTATAATAGATTTTATTATTAGATTTTTCAAGAGATTATAATCTGTTATAGTCGATTATAATTGATTTTAGTTCATACAAAAATCTCTCTAAATCAATTATAACCAATTGTAATCAATTAGAATCTCTTATTTTGTCAAAAATTTGGTAAACCATTAATATATTTTAATTTCAAACTATATGGGCTTTTATTTTGCGGTCAGTAACCAAATCTCTAAAAGCTGGTTGTCTTACACTTTGGTTCACAAGTCTTGTCACACTTTGGTTGTCTTGAACACAAAGATTCACCACGAAACAAAAGTTTCATAGAGATCCTTTCATTTTAGTTAAAAAGTTCCCGCGGAAGGTGAAAATTTCCGAATAAGTTATGAAACTAAAGCAATGTGCTGATATTTTGGCGGTTAAAAAACCCTAGAATGTGCATCATGAAACAACTTCAAGGGAGAAACGAAAACATAAAAAAGTTATAATTTTGAAATGATTTGAATTTTTTGAAACAGTTTTCTCATTTTTCTTATACACCAATGTGTACAAAAAGAAAAAATTATAAGCAATTAGATGCAAAGTCGAAGACAAAATGGGCAAACAAAAGGGGTTATAATTGATTATAATTGATTAAATTAAAATTAGATTTTATGTGCAAATTATTTGAATCAGAAGTTAAAATATACATACTTGATATTAATCGCTGATACTCTTATCGAAAAATAGATGGGTTAATAATCGATTATAATCAATTCAGTTGTTTGTTAATTGATTATATTTTTTGCAAACTCATGAATTTTTATTCATATTCTGAATTGATAAAAAACCTCGCAATTTTTTAAATATTCAAATACTTTTTTTTCGTATTCTGAATTAGTAAAACACCTCGCAAAATCAGTTCAACTTAGATGAAATCTTTCTTACATGTCTTTCCTTATTAATTTTTTTAAATTAAAATTTAACGCCCAGATATCTAAAATTACTTTACTTTTCTACTTCATATTTGAGAAAGACATTGCTTTGTTTTGTCCGAAATGAACGTTAATTGAATATGATGAAACCAATTGATCTTATTCACAGCTTTTAATTGTTTTTTTTTTCATTGTTTTTTTTTCTTTTTCAGTACATAATGCAAAATCATCAGCGTAGAAAATTGACTTCGACAGTGCATTGTTTCACGAATAAACAATTAAAAAATGACATGACGAGGCCAAACTATGCACTGTAGAGCCGAACAAGTTGGTGTTGGTAGGTCTCTGGCATCTAGAGACAAGTTTTTGAAATTTGTCGGAACTATAAAAAAAACGAAAAAAAAAGCAGAACAAAGAGAGCGTACATGTTGCGGTATCCGCTTACAATTCACACACTACACAATTTGGCCTCGTAATGGACCTAAAACAGATTCTTAGGGTACAACAACTTCAACTAACTTGGTGTTAGATTTTTTCTTTCCACAAAAAATGTTGAGTTTTTTTTCATAAAAAAGTACCGAGGTCCTTAATATTACGCTGAGTTCATTAATGATATCAAATACCATCAACGAGATAAACGTTTTCTAAAGATATTCAAAGTTAGTTGACAAACAACTTGAAAAACCAAATCGTGAACTTTGCTTCCAGGAATTTGCACTAAAATCATCTCTTAGCTTACTCTAAGGGTGGGTATTCACAAGTACCAAAATGATAAATCAGTCTCAATTGTACCAAAATAAAAAACAATCGCGTTAGTACCAAAAACATCCAAATGGCCAAAGACTACTAAACCGACTAATTTAAGCTCTTGGTTTAAGGTCGCCGGTGGGCGCGCAACGCGCGCGTCGCCGCTTTGCGGCGATAACAGGCTCTAATTTTTGTATAGAGTCCTACCTTCTGTTGACAAGCTCGCAACACGTTGGCCCGACTGCGGCGGTCACTATTCTGCTGCTTAGTTTTCTTCTGTTTGAACAGTAGAAAATTAATGTAATAATTTGTTGGCTCACATTTCGACCAATCAGGAAACGAGTTGAATAATTTTGGTACAAATGGGACCGATTTTTCATTTTGATACAAATGAACGTTGGTACAAATGGGACTTCACCACTCTAAGGTCGAAAATAAACACCAAATATCAGCTAAAAAGCAACATTTTTCAATTTATATAAGTAGGACAATCAAAAAAAAATCTTTTCATATTTTGTTTCAAATGCTTAGTATAAAGACGAAGAAGAAAAGTTAGTTTCGCTCATTTACATCGAAGTAACTAGGTGTGGTTGACTGAAATTGCATCGAAATGAACCTGTGAAAAATAACGATGGATTATAGTGATGTAAAAATCCTTGTATATTGGTTTTCCTGGCCTTAATTTTAAATCATATTCAGGCGATTTGATATCGAGTTAAAACTATATTTGGTTTAATTCCGTTTATTTTGTTTTAGTTGATCGTAATCCATATTTGTCAGTGAGGGAAAGCTAACTGTTTGCCTACAGAGTTTAGACAACTCTAAATAGTTTGTGCAAGATTTTGTCATTCATAATCAAGTCAACTAAAAACACTCTAGTTGTGTCGAAAATGGTATCAAATCAAAACTGTTTCTGCACTTATTCGGATTCTTATAAAATAGTTCAAAGGTCCAGAAGCAAACAAAATTTGATTGAATTTTTCCAATTTCGGACTGCTGCTAAATTGGATGGTAAAAGTCACATCAATCATGTTGTTTCAGCTGTTTAAAATTAAAGAGTCTACGCGCAAGTAGGTTCCATTAATAATCGATAATAAGGGATTTTCGTGGTCAATTATAATTGTTCCGACTTTCGATACGAAAGTAACAAAACATTTGTGCTCGGGGTGGGTTTTTTTTCTTCAGACAAATTTCGACTTTTAACTAGCCATTTTTGACGGAACTTTTTTATAACATTCGAAAGCTATTGTTGTCCTGAGCTCAAATTTGAAAAGATATTTCACCTGTGATCATTTTTCGTAAAGTTATGGGGGTTTAAAGATTGCCATTTTAGCCAATTTGGGACAATTAACGCGCGATATATTTCGCGCTATTAACGCGTAAGCGGAGATTTAATTCGTCTTAAAATCGTTCCAAATTGGTTGAAAGAAGATTTTTTGCCATAATTGATTTGCTAAAAGGAGCTAAATCTTTCTTTTTGTACTTTATATGGCGTGTGGGTGGATGATTTTCATAAAAAATTTCAAATTTTAGAAAAAAAATTTATTACATTTAATTTTTTGATGTTATTACTGCTCCATAAACCTTAAAAGGCAGTCGGAACATTCAGGGCTTCGCCCTGATACGAGCTGTCTTGTTTCAATTTGGGATCACACAATGATAAACAATCCATTTCTAAAATTTTAAATCTCTTAGATAATTCATTAATTTTCATGAAATATAAACAATCTGTTTCGTCTAAATTTTGCAAAATCTATTTGCTAAATTTTTCAACATTTTTGGCAATAATTTTGGCCGACTTGAATTATAAACCAACTTCAACTTATGAATTTTTGGGAAAACGATATTCATTCGCCTCCTCAATACTTATACCAGGAGTTTTCAGAACCTTTCTCGACTTTGAAAAACTGAACAAAAACCCACCCTTCCGTTTTCCCTTCACAACACGCAACCCACCACCCTACGCACACTTTGACTGCCTGACTACCCTCCGGCACCCCTCAAAAAACCCCTCCCCCATCAATTACAAACCTCACTGTTCTAAACTTGCAACCACCCGCCCTTGGGGTTGTAAGCGGGGAGGGGGGTAACTAGGAGCTCAGGGGTAAGTGGTAAGTGGCTGCAGTTCAAAAAACATTTCACGGCGGGGGGCAATGGGGGGGGGGGGGGGCAGCCCGGGGGGATTGTTAACCCAAGCGAAAAAAGTAAGAATGGCGAGCTTACAAAAAGCAACACAATATATTTTTACAAGCAAAATTTAAATTTCAATAAACCGATTGGAATGTCCAAGTTTTGAAACTTTGCGGAAAAGTTTTCGAAAATCCAAGTTGTTGCCTAAAAAAGATTAGAACCCATTAGAATTGGTTTCAGTCCATTTTTTTTGTTCGTTTGAAATTTTTAGCATTTATTTGCTGCGGTACTTGCAGAACAACCAAAGTTTCGTATTTTTCATTCTTTTCATTGCTTAAAATTTAATTCTGACTTTTCAATTTGAGTTTGCTTTCTTTCTTCTATATTCTCTCGTAACAATCAAGTTGATATTCATGATCCGATTGCCAAACAATTCGTCTTTGGGACTCAAGTTTACAATTTAAAGATCGACATTTATGAGAAACGATATTTGTCATACTGTCGAAAGTTGATGAGTAAATAAATTTAAATAAATTTCTTCAAACATTTTTCTACCATATTCGCCATTGAAATGAATGCATTGTATAGTTTCGTTATCTTATATAGTTATTTAAGCGCCGTTTTTGGAAGCCAGGAAAAGTGCTTGCCATCTACATGTACCGAAACTACTGAAATTTCTGACTTGCAAACTACCTCTTCTAACCAAGACAACTCAATTTTGACCTTGAATAGTCAGGCAGCTGAGCTTGGTGAAAATGTTTTTGATTTGTATTCAGAAATCGGAAAATTAACAGATGAAATTAAAACTCTGAAGAGTAAAAATAAAGAGCACGAGGCTGAAATTGAGTCTTTCAGAAAAACGGTCACAGAAATGGAGTTTTTTGTGGACCAACTTGATAATAACACCACAACCACCGAATCTGATGTCGATGACTTAGAAACAAAAACTACAACTCTAATGGAAAACTATGAAAAGTTGAGCTCAGTTGTTGAGAACTTAGATCTGAATTATGAGCTGCTTAACGAATCGTTTTCGGATTTCGAAGAAAGAAGTTCGAGTTTGGTTCGAGTTTTCGAGACAGTTAACCCGCCAGAGATAGGAAGTATTGCAGTGCCTGCTCTAACGTGCAAATGGGTCCAAGTGTTTGTTGACGTAGCATCGTCAGCTGCTCACTCCAAAGCGTATGGATTACTATACAGAGACGGATACCCAATTAACGAAGGTATGAAAACACTGTTTCTTAAAGTATCCGGGTCGAGACACCCGACTTATCCGTAGACGATCTAGACCAAAATCTCAGCAAGTGTCGACTTAGTGCCTGACTTAAAACGGCTTCTTTCGACCGCCGATTTTGAACGTCTTAGTTTTGAAGTCGAAATATAGGTCAAGCACTTCAAACCGGGTATTTTAGTATCCTCATAGCAACTATGATATCATTTTTAAAGCCTGTAAGAAACACATCAACCCATGAGAAAAAAGAATTTGAGACTTTGTTTGATTGAGAAATTAAGACTTTAAGAAGTGTTACTTTTTGGCTTCATATCTCTTAAATTTTTTGCGCCTTTTTTGTCCCGACCACTCCACAAAGTCACAAAAAACTATGGCTTTTTTGCCCATTTTTATTACCCTAAAGAAAACTCGCAGGTCAAATGCGGTATCAAGTTAACACCTTGTTCGTAGTTTTTACAAAAAAATCAAAAAAAAAATTCATTATTATATTTATATATTTATATTTAATTAATTTGACTTAAAAATTAATTTTATCACAAGCTTAACGGCTGCAGATTTGTTTTCTTCACAGTTCAAAACCGAAAATCTGAAAAATTGTTTAAAAAAAAATTGAAACACAAAAACACTCTAAAAAAGAAAATCACGAAAATTCCTATTGAAACACGCAAAAAATGATCAATGTGTGTCGGAACCTTCTGTACAACTTGTTCAGCAACCAACCGGTGCTTTTTGTCGGTTTTTAGTTTTTGTTTAAAACTGTTTACTTGTAATTTTTTCCAAGACAAAGAAAGTTACTCATACACGAGCTCAGCGGCCACCGGAATGGAGCAAGCCGCTGGAGGAACGACCTCCCGGATGTATGTGGTAGAGGACACCTATGACTCAGGAGTGGATCTCTATTTGGGCCACTACTATTGGTCGGCAGATAAAACCCATGTATCCATGAAAGCACTGTGCTTTGCGTGATGAGTTTGAGAAGTTAATGTTTGCCGAACTTATTTGAGGACTTGTAATTCGGGATTGAGATAATTATGGTTTATGGTTGCAGAATTTTATGGACTTATAGATAGGAATGCATATCATTAGTTTAAAAAATTCAACTTTCAATAAAATTAAAATGTTTTCGATAAATTAATTTAGAAATCTTTCAAATATAAATTTTCATGGACATCAAAAAATCCTCGATTGAGTTATGAGTTAAATTTAAATTATTAGAGATATTGTTTTTCCACCATGAGATTTTTGAGTAAATTTTCAGAAAGAGTATGATTGCGAGGAGTCGATTATGATTCGTACTACAGCTGTTTTCATGAAGAAGCTGAGTAGAAGTTTTTACGATATCAGAGAGCGGTTTTCACAAAAGTATCGAAAAAAGAAAATTTTGTGCCCGGGTTGACCAAAAATGCTAATCATACAGTTTCCATATATCAAAAAAGGTAATCATACGCTTTCCATACGATTCCATAAGTACAGAAAATTGAATAAAAAGTCTATGATTAGTATTTTTTCATATATGGAAATTGTATGACTAGCATTTTTTCTTAAATGGAAATTGTATGATTAGTATTTTTAAACAATTAGAAATCCAGCAAAATGAAGCAAAAATTATTTTAAGTTCAATCCCACACGACGAGCAGTCTCTGAACAGAGAAGAAAAACCAGAGAAAAAATGTTTTCTCTTAGTAAATTCTCCTCGCTGAGAAAGCAAAGCAGTTCTTATTCTTATCCTAGGGAGAATTCATACCGGGAGGTGCTGCCTCAGAAGAAAAACTTAACAAAAAAACTGATAGCGAGCTCAATAATCCAAAAAAAAACAAAACAAAAAAAAACAGAAACAGTCTACTAAAATTCTGAATTTTGTCCGGCTAATCGGGCAACATTTTTATGGCATTCTTGTCTTCTAGTCACGACATCAGCATCTGAAACAGTTCTCCATAAACACAAAATTTACACTTGAGTTTGAAACAAACTACTAAACATCCTAGCAACAATTAAGCATTTTATTTAAATCCTAACTTTTACCTACGTGAGAATGATCAACTTTTGAGATTACTTTTGGAATCACGAATGAAAATATACAGTCAGAAATCAACCAAGTGATGGCACACAGAAACACAAAAATGCACAGATTTACGAGGTAAAAATTGTGCATAACCGCGTTTCTGGGCGCCACTAGGTCGTCTCAGATACGAATTCTCTGATGACCTTGCAAATTGTTTTCGATCAATACGAAGCGATTTAGTCATAAACACAAAGGCAACGTGGAGCTTCGCACCACCCGCAATATCACACAAACATAAAAAAATGAAGTAGAAAAAATAACAAAAATGTTTTTAAAAAAATATAAATCAATTTTTTTTTTGTAAGTAGCGATAAAGTTTAGTTTAGGCAAACATGCTAGACAAGTCAGTATCGAACACAGAGGCAAAAACTAAAAACCAGGACACTTTTGTCAGATGCATTGCGGTAAAACACCCCTGTTTTTCTTGAAAGCTTGTTTCGATAATGTCTGATAAAGAAAACAAACGAGTCAGCGCAAACAATTTACAACAAGATTGAAACTCGTGTGTTGATATACCAACCGAATAATAAGATGTTTCGGGTTTCTTAATCAACATTTGTTTTCTGAAAAAAAAAATGCTATTCAAACATTCACATATATGGAAACTGTATGACTAGCATTTTTTTCAGAAACCAAAAAGAAAAAAATACAATCGAAATTTTCTGTTGCAGCCACTTGAATTTTTTTCAGCAATTGAATTAGTTGCTCGTGGTTGTTTTTGAAGTTTTATTAATGCTAATCATGCAATTTCCATATATGGAAATTGTGTGATACGCATTTTTTGCATACCAATTTTTTTTCTTCTTTTCATGCAGAGACACCAATTTTGATACCAAAACAACAGAAAATACCATTATAATTCGTTTAAACTCATTTTGCAATGAAATTTGTATGACTAGCATTTTTCCATAGACTAAGTGTATGGAAATGTATGATTAGCATTTTCGGTCTATGGAGGTCAACCCGGGTGTTGAATAATTGGTCTGCGAGTCAGATTTTGACGAATCCTTGTTGTTTGCTCCCGAATACTGAATTAAATGAGTCGAAGGACCTTAAAATGAAGAGTCGAATTTGATGAAGGGGACAAGCTTGTCTTGTGTGAAAATTACAACAATTGAAGGGGGTGGCACAGTTAGCATGAATTTTTATTAGCATGCGATCATTGGTTTCATTAGGTGTTCAATGAGAATGAGAGTAAGTTAGCCTAAATTTTTGATGCATTTCAAAATCAATTTGATTTGTCGAAGGGTTCAAATTTCATGTTTGCCTAATTAAGAATTCATTGATGTGAAGTGCAGCCTGTGCTCAAACTTGCAATTTTGAGTAAACCGAAGTGTAAAGTAGCGACTGTGGACTAGCTCATCAACTCGTATTCCCCTCCCCCTTCCCGCCCGCTTTTTCGGCGTTGAAGGGGCTTTAATTATGTAGATGAGTCACGATGCGTCCGTTCCCTGGAAAACCGCTTTTGCTTTACATTGAGGTTTTGTTCTTGATTTAGAGTTGCGTTCTTTTAGTTCTTGTTAAGGTCTTTGTATTTTTTTTTCAATTTGTTTTGTTGTACGTTTTTGTTTAACATACGTGTCACCGACACCGACGAAATGAAAGAAGACTACTCGTAAAAAGAAATCATAACTTTTGGACAATTTTAGGTGATATATTAGCATACATGGCAAATGATACATTGCTTGAAAAAAATAGACGGATGTTTTGCCTTAAATATGTAATTACACTAGTAAAACTTGCATTTTGAAACACTTCCGCTTTTTATTGAGTGTCACGCATTTCTAAGTGAACTTTACGCTTGCGATTAGCAAGCGTTATCAAGTCGGAATATAGACTTTTAGAATATAGAAGAAAAAGGAATATTTATGCTGTGTGGTTTTTTTATTCAGTCAATTTTCGCCGATCGAAATAATAGTTTTCGTCGACAAAACTTTTTATACCCCATTGGAAATATCGACTTCCTGAGTTCAAATTTAAAAATATATTCTTCTTCCGCTATTTTTTGTAATTTTTTGGGGCTTTGAAAATTGTCAAATTGGCCATGTTCTGGACTAAATTATGCGCGCTTTGAAAACTTTATTCATATTGCTGAGAGCGTAACGCAAATTATTTATGCGCAGCGATTTATCCCGCTCAACAAAATCGCACCAAATTGAATTGAGGCTAGCTAATTGGTCGCATTATTTTCGTACGACTCAAAATCTTACACTTTGACAATGTCAAAAATGTATAGGTTTTCAATATTTTTTTTTCCTAAAAATTATTCGAAATGAATTAAGGGTCAGTCAGAACATTCAGGGCTTTGCCCTTATATACGAGCAGCCTTGTCCGGGTTAACAACTTATTTAAAAAGTCAGTTGAACTAGTTGAGAATTTTTTGAGCATTTTAAATAGCATTTTAAATGGCCGTTCCTATCCAATTTTCATTGCTAGTTGTAAATCAACTCTCCTTTCAATTTTTTTTTGTTTATGCTCTTCATTTTTCGTTTTTTTTTTTTCAGTTTAAGGCTTTTTTCGGCTTAAATGGTTACGGTTGATGTTACATATTTTTAGTTGCATCATGTTTTGTTGTTCGAAGGATCATTTTTTTGAAACTGACTTGTGTTTCAGTGGAGAGGGATCTGTAAAACTTAGGAAATGTTTGATAAAATTCTCAAAACGTTTTTGGCTCAGCTTTTTCGGCTCAACAGTAGTCTACCCAAGTTTTGTCTGCTCAGTATTTATGTAATAATTTTTGTTTGACATGTTTATTTAACTCTGACAATTTTGTTTCTCAATATTATTTCTTAAAATTAACCGCAGTCCGGAAAAGTGAAAGAAATTAATTTTTAAAATTTTTTTATTCAACGCTAATTGATCCAATTTTTTGTGCTAGCTGACTTGCTGTTATTTTGCTACATCACAAGTGGCGATAAGCTCCGCTTCGCCTCTGCGCAATAAATAAAATGGATTATATGTCTCTAGAAAAAATAGAGACTAAGTTCAAATGTAATCGATTAAAATAGATTAAAAAAGGATTTGTTTTTACAAAATTAGGAACGTTATAATCCATTATCAGTCAATTATAATTGTTGTTTTGAAATTGTAGACAGGAAGACTAATAATCCAATAGAAACGATTATTATTCAAGAAAATCCAGAGTAGGTAGGTGGTACAATTGGCAATTTTCAAATCCCCCGAGTTTAAAATAAATTTGAAAAAAAAAATGTATTTGAAGATACAATATACTCAGAGAGTCAAAAATTGGCCGAATTAAAAACCACCCCAAATATAAATTTTCGGCATTTCATTGACAGTCTGAGTAAACAAAATTATTATAATGCAGTCCATTTTTGGTTAAAATGATTCTCTTTTGAATGACGGCATCAACGGTTCTGTTCTAATATTAAAGGTTCAATTCAGCAATAAGGCAACTTCTCGCAAATAAATTAACATCAAAACATCAAACCACCAAAAGGTTACCATCATGCCAAGCGTTTCTCAATTTTGTAAACATTTACAATTTCCTCAGTAACAAATAAATCAATTCGGAGCGAAATATGCAAATTTTGGCACCCGTTATAATTTTAATTGTAACTGCAAGCATCTGTCAAGGAACGCAAGAGCAATGTCTGCTAAATAATTGCACCGAAACTTCCGAGCTGGCAGCTTTAAAAATTATATATTCGATTCACGATTCTACATTACAGTACCTTAAAACACAATACAATACCTTAAATAGTGATGTTAACTTATTGCAAAGCGAAACTACAGATCTTTCTAATGAGACCGAAAAAGAGGCTTCACAGATTGCCAACCAAACAGCAGAAATAACTTCATTGAAGAAAAGACTGTCGACCTTGAAGCTTCGATCTCAACTTGTGAGCGAGAAAAATGCAAAAAATTGTGAGAAATCTCAACAATTGCAACAACTGATTCCGGAATTGGAAAACGAAAACAAAATTACGAATGACAAAATTGAGGAAGTTGTCAAAAAATCCCAGAAAGTGGAAATCATTTTTTCTGAGATGGAGCAAAACTCTTCCAGTTTTTCAGAAGTGACGTTGAAAAATCAGTCGAAAGAAGGCGGGAAGGTTTATGTTAAAGAAGGGCAGTGCAAATGGGTTCAAGTCACAACTGACGTTTCTTCTTCTGCTAAATTTGGATCTACCAACGTGATTGTTCTGAAAAACGGCGCCCCAATTATTGGCAGTGAGTACTTAATAGTTGTAAAAATTTATTTTTTTTTGTCGGGTTAGTTTTGAGGTAATTTGCAGGGAGAAAACATTTTAACGTCCTCAGAAATTGGACATTTTAAGTTCATCTAATTTTTTTTCAGCCTTTTGCCAACTCTTTTAATCTCCTGAAGATTAGGTCAAGGTTGTTGATTCGACAAAAAATAACTCCTTTTTAACAATTATACTATTTACTACGTCTGAAGCATGCAGTTTGCCTATTTTAGTTCAAGTTTTTTTTGTAGCAGTTTGAAATGGTAAGGCTTGAAAAATCTTCTGCCTTATCAAAAAATATCATTACTCATTATTAATTTTAACCCCTTCTCAATTTTTGCATCATTTAAACACTTAGTATCAAAAAATCGAGCAAAAAAATATAGTTGTTTAACACAGGCGATTCAGCAGTGTCTTATACCAACCCGGCCGGAGCGGGGTTCGAACTCGGATCTGCAGGCACGACGTCGAAGAGTTTCTTTGTAATGGACACATACGAAGATGGAGTTACATTCAGTCTTGATTCGGTGTACGAGCCTTCCGACTACGTCAATTTGACACTCTCAGTTTTGTGTTTTTCATAGATTCAAAACAGTCACTTAATGTACGATAATTATTATTTTTTTATCAAAATAGTTTTCTTGGTTATTGCGAAAGGGTTACTAAAATTTTGTTGATATGTAGTTGAACGAAATAAAGCTTAAAATTAAAGAGCTATTTAGCAAGCCGGATCGACTTCAATAGACCAAAAACGCTAACCATACAATTCCATGAACTAAGTTTGCGAAAAAATACTAGTCGTAAAAATTTCATACATATTTTGCTAGAGAACTTTCGAATTTTTTTTTTAGTTTTGGCATATAAGTCGGGTATCACCATAAATAAAAGAGAAAAACTTTTTTTGTCAAAAAATACTAGTCATACAAACTTCATACATTTTGCTAGAGAATTTTTTTTTCTAGTTTTAGCATATAATTCAGGTATCATCAATAATAAAAAAACTTTTTTTTGTCAAAAAAAGCTAGTCATACAACTTCCATATATAAAAATTCTATGACTAGCATTTTTTGATGGCGACTGCAAAAATTTTTTCTTAGCAGTTTCCAAATTACCCCAAAACTTTTTTTGAACGCAACTCGAGTTTTGTGCTTATTTTGTGCAAAAAAAAATTTAAAAAAAAGTTACATGAATTTTTTGTTTGCATAACGTAGTCCTGGATACGCAAAAATTGAATTATTTTCTCGTTTCTTTTGAGAATTTTTTTGAAAACGCTTAAAACGACTATTTATTTTGGATGCCATGTTTTTGTGTGCCTTTATCAATGCATGAACAAACAACAACTCAAATGAAAATTATCTTTAAAAATTTTTGACAAAATTTAAAAGTTATTTAAATCATTTTTGCAAGACAATTCAGGTGGTTTTCAAAGCAGTTAAATTGCAAGACAATCAAATCTGTGGTGACTCTACTTTTGAGTAACCAAGGTCTTTGTCACTTGTGTTCGGTTACGAACACCACCCAAACTTTTTGAAAGATTAAATTTAAAAAGTCAAATTTGTTGGCTTATGAAAAAATGCTAGTCAAACAATTTCCATATATGAAAAATTATTAATCATATACCTTTCTTTCATGCATTTTTCTCTACTTATGAAATGCATGAAAAGTTTATGATTAGCGCTTTTCCATATATAAAACTTATATGACTAGCATTTTTTCTCAACCCGGGAAACTCATGCGCTTCAAATTAACTGTTCTCGAAAAATGTGTTCCCTCTGAGCGGCTTAAATTTTTGGATCAACCGTACAATTCAACTTCCCCCAAATCGGATTGTGGGGGGGGGGGGGGGGGGGGAGAATATATGGATTTTTCGCAAGCTCACTTTTAAGTAGCCTCGATTCGTTCACAATTAACCGAATTCCAATAGAAAATTGAATTAAAACATAAATTTTTGTAAATAACAGCATACAATTGCAATCCCGCATAAAAAATGTTACAATCATTTTTCTTTGTAGGAAATGCATTTTTTATAGAATTTTTTTCAGAACTAATACATGCTTGGGAGGGCATTCTACGCTAGGTCATTTAGGGGGGGAAGATTGTACGGTTGATCCAAAAACTTCAATTTTTTTTGAAAAAAATGTAATTTTCAATTTTGCCATTGCAAGTTTTTTTTGCCATTTTTCTTTCATATTTTTCGTTTTTTCGAATCACAAATAACAAAGAGAAGGTGAAATTAATTTTAATCTTTATCGATCCCTTAGCAAGCAAGTATTGCTAAATTGGCTCGGCAAAACCTCAGCAAATTATCAGCAAGTGGCGTCCGCGGCAAGCCATATTGGTCAGCTCATTTTGCTTTCGGGACGGGAAATTAATTTTAAGAAAAATTTCGTACTTTCAGAGAAACAATTAACCAGGAAATTGTATATTTTATAGCAAGTGAAACAAATGATAAACTTAAATGGTTGAATAGCAGCTTACAGAAAACATTCTTCAAATAAACATTCTTTATAAATACATTTTTGGCAACTCGAGGGCTTTTGTACAGCTTTGAACATCAGTTCAGAGAACCACTTTTATTGCAAAAGCTTGAAAAATACATCATCTCTTAGAGACAAAAACTGTTTTAATTAATCCTTAAGTTGACACAGCAAATTTTTAAGAATTTACGAATAAACTTCGAGTGGGGTGTCTTTTTAAGGACGTGCACTTTTACTGACTTTTTTTGGTTAAAAAATTCTTTATCTAAAACATATTTTTTCCAAGTTTGCAAATCTGACAAAATTTAGAACAATTAATCTTCAAGATCTCTTCACGGAGAACAGGGGTTGTGCCTCTAGTTTAGATATTGATGCAAGTTTTTCGGCTATTTTTTTTGGGTTGGGTAATGTATTGGCGCGTCACTCTCAAGCAACGAGCACAGAGCATAGCGGGCCTGGAACACCCGACATTTTGATTGAGAGACGGAGATGCAGCTTTTCACCAGTGTTCTTATTATGATTATAATGAGATTTTTTTTCATTTAGAGACACACATTTAGTTCTTCGCCTCATTTTGACCTGGACCTAAACTCGGTTTCATCATACTTATAGTAGCTTTTTTGAAAAAGATTAGATCCAGAAATAGTACAGCGCTAATATTGACTTTAATCAGAGTTGTTCAAGTATTTTGCAAAAAAAGGTGTGTTCAAAATAGTTTTTTTTTCTGTCAAAGTGTCTAAGGACGCTTTAAAGCTGTATTTGGTTTGTGAGGTACTAGTCATTTGGCAATTAATAATTATTAAATCTCGGTATTCAAAAAATCTCTTTTTCCAATTGTGGAACTGAAAACAACCAAGTACCTTTGCAATGAAGTGGAACTAACAGAGAACAATAATGCTATCAGAGTTGCTCTTTATAAAACACGACCAGAAAAAAAGCTATAGCTGACGTTATAGAGACTTTGCGGTATCAATCAATCGTATAGGAATTTTTTTCATCAAACTCTTTTCAAAAAACCTTAATGTTGGTTTTCAATGGTAACACTTTGCTTTTTGATAATTTTTTTTGAAGACTATGGAAGCTCAATTTTCTATAAATTTACTTTTGATTTGCAATAAAAATACAATGAAAAGTGTTGTCAATACAGTAATTTAAAATAATCATTATTTAGGCCGACCAAAGTGAAATTCCGAGCTGACTTCCGAAAGCAGTAAAAAATTTGAAAAACAGGTCAAAAAAGGCGCTTTTAGGCACTTTTTTGAAAATTCTGACCAATAATCGCGTTTTTTGGCGCGCTTCGCCCTCAAAATTAGTATATCGTGGCACCCTAGACGCCTTTAGAAAATTTTGAGGTCCGTAACCAAATACGGATATCTCAAAATACTACAAAGGGGGGAATTTTTGGGTCGGTGGGTAGTCGAATTTCTGAGAGATTGTACGTCCAAATCCAAATCGAACTAAAACGTATAGTTTGGCGTCAGATTTTAAGCGGGTAGAAATAGAAGCGGAAATTGCTGTTTCAGGTTTGTTCGAAAAACTTTTGCATCCTCCCAAACTATATATTTTGGACTGAATTATTTGGGTCCAGTATGCTTTGTATTCTTCTAGATAGGAATTGTAATTAAACACAACGAAACAGGGATAGCCGGTTGCTGTGCAAGTAGCGGGACGTCTTCCGACCAAATTCTTTGAAAAAAAAGACGAAAGAAATTTTTTCTGCAAGTTATCGTCGTTTTATGAGCGTGGTGTCACAAAAAAACCTGAATGAAAGCCTAAAATTTAACCATATTCAACAGTGATAAAGAAAAAGGCAAACGGAAAAACAGTTTTTGTTGAAAAACAGCGAGAAAAATAAACAAAAAACTACAAAAACTTAAAATAGTTTTTGTCAACCTTCTGAAGAGTATGATTTGACCCCACTCCTTGTTGACCGTACAGTATCTATCGTGCAACATTTTTTAGCCCGTTAACACTATCGATAAAGGTAATCTAGCATAGGTATCCACGTTTAGGAAAAAAATAGGGACTAAATAATAAAAGACTAGAGGCGCGTTTGCTATCTGGAATTTTTTTTCTTGAAAAAAGTCTTGAAAATAAATCATCGCCTGCTCATTTATGTTTCAGTCAAAGAATCAAGTCGGATAAAACTTGTAAAGTATTTTTAAATAGTTTTGAAGATATTCTGTCCAGCCAATGGAGCTCTCTTGTCTGGTTTTTTGCACACGCTGCTTCCTTCCTCGGGGGTTCAAGTCCGTTCATTTTTGGAATTCTATAATGAAGACTCCTCATCAAATTTGTTCCTTCTTTATCTTTCCAGCTGAGGATTTTATGAAAATCAGCTTTTTTCATTCGTTTTTTGGGTAGTAAATACGGGTGTGTTTTGTAGACAGCACACCTATGCCATTCGGGTATGAGGCATACTTGACTGGAATGAATAGTTTTTCCAGGGTTGTAGTTCCAACTGGAGAACAAAACTGATCGCGATATTATAAAATTCGTGTTGTTTTCAAAATCTCTTGTGAAATTACATCTACGATTGACAGGTTGATCGTACAGTTTAAAGCTATAATAACGATGTTTTTTATCTATGCCTGCTGATATAGCTGCTGGAATATTTCGGTAGAAATTGGCGTTAAAAGCAACAATTTCGTCCAAGTCTTGAACTGTCACGTAATCAGTGACCAATGCGTATTTTAAAATGCAGTACGTATATTGAATTGGTTTTGAATCTGCGGCTATTCTGTACAAGTTAGAATTGTTGTTGGAGTAAACAGACATTGGATGCATCTCTAGAAACCCAATATCTTTGTAATGCTTAAGAACTTTCCGAGAACTCGGGTCGAAAGAAAAAGGATAGATTCTTTCGTCGAGTTCGCCCATTGAAACCCTTTTCACGCCAGCTAATTTTTGGTACTCAAAGAATTCGACCAATCTACTTGGCCTTAACGCATCAAAATAATCGGTCACTGCTGGCAAGCAAACGGTGATTGAGGTCCTCGGTGAGCCAGTTTTTGAGTGCAGCTGACGCTCGACGTGAACCTTATTGGTGACTGTTTGATTTTCAAACTGAACTGAAACAACCGTCGGACAATTTGAGGCCGGCTCGAACAAACAGATAATGAAAAATCCTGATCTAAGTGTAAAAACTGAAACGTGTTTCACGCGCCGCGGTGCTCATTTTATGTTTCGACTCTATCGACCAAAATTGGCTATTTTGACTATCACTCCCAAAATACGGTGTCTTTTGACTTTCTCGTCCAAACTTTGATATGTTCAAATTTTCCTAACCCAAAAAAAACTTTCGATTTTGTTTGACCCAGTTTAGTTCTTTTTTGAACTTCTCAAATTAATTTCATTAAAGTTTTTGACTGTCTCGATTTTCTCGACAAAAAAGTTTCCATATAATTGTTTGAACTAAGCTATTTTGTGGCGTATGTTGCCACCCATTTTGCGACTTTCTCGACCAAAATTGGATATGTTTTCACTTGGTGATCAAGTTAAAATTGATATTCGACGCCGGATTATCAACTTCCAAGGTCAAAACAAAGGTTGAGCACCTCGAGCCAGATTTGTTTTCTTGGTTTTAGAAGTTGCAAAAGTTGTCTGCTTTTGATCGATACACCGCAGATCTCGACCAACTTCCTTTCGGACAGACATAGCAGGCCTGGTGAATGAAGTCTACAGGTAATTGAGATTCAAAAAACATAATCACAAAAATCAGATACAAACAATTTGTTCAATAATCAAAATTATTGATTTCTTTTCTGTTATATGGCCCAAAAACACCAAATTGATACTTGACCTTCTGTTCAAACTGAGAGTCCATTTTTTCACTCAGATTCGATCTTCGTACACCAATTTTTATAACAGCAATAAATTGTATTTTAATCCGTATAACTGGAAAACCGAACTCATCGAACCTCAAAATTCAAATTTCGACAAAAATTGTTCAAATCACTTACCCGTAATGGCCTTGCAATGCAAACCATTGTTTTTTCCTATTTTAAAAAAAAAAATTTTAAATACGAAGCTTGAGGCTTGTTAGTTGGGCAAAAAATCTCAAGCTTAACTTCAAACGCATTCTCACATTCTACCTTTTACTGATTTGGGGCTGCGTATCATAGAAATCATTTTAAATCAGTAATGTTTTAATATAAGTACAAAACTCTTCGCCACTGACCCGGGTTGAGCAAAAATGGTAATCAAACACATTTCTTAGTGGAAAATGTTTCTCATACAATTTTTCAAGTTCAATTATGTACAGGAAAATGTAAAAGAACTATGCGATCAGCATTATGTTTTATATGATGATAAAGTTTTCCACAAAAAGTTTAAAGATTTGCTGTAAATTTTTGTGATTTATACGAAAAACACGAAAACCAAGAGTTATCTTACATAAGAAACACATAGGCTAGTGGCAACAACTGCGCAACTGAACTGCATTCGTAGACAAGCCATGTGAGTTAATATATGGTATTTCACAAAGTAATTTAACAAAAACTTAAAATTGATTGTATAAGCTAGAAAGCTTCTATCTCGAAAAAAATTACTGATCAAGAATCGTGACCAATTTTTTTGACAGATTAAAGGTTACAATTGCCTACAAAGTAAACAAGATTGCTCGTATCAGGGCGTAGCCCTGAGTGTTCTGACTGCCTCTTAAGTTCTATGGAGCACTATTAAGATGAAAAGGTTAAATGTAATAAAACAAAATTATACATAAAAAAATTGAATTTTTTTGTAACAACATCACCCCACACGCCACAAGAATAAAAAAGTGATAGATTTTGCTATTGTTAACAAAGCAATTATGACATTTAAACTTCCATGAACCAATTTGAAACTATTTCAAAAGCGTTTCAAATTTCCACTTACGCGTTAATAGCGCGAAATAAATCGCGCGTTAATTGGCCCAAATTGGCCAAAATGGCAATCTTTAAACCCCCATAAATAAACATAATCACAGGTGAACAATGGCTTTCGAATGATAAAAAAATTCCGTTAGAAATGGTTAGTGAAAAAATCGAAGTTTGCCTTAAGAGAAAAAACCCACCCGAGCACATATATTCCGCATTACAAATGTCGGAACAAAAAGGAAATTTCTGACTGCACACAACCAAACAATCGTTCTATTTTTAGTTATTTTGTGCGCGAAAATGTCTAAAGTTTTTTATAGACAGGCAACTGAGTATGATTTTACGACATACTAAATTACATACAAAAAAGTTCATACTAAGAAGTTTTTATAATGAACCTCAATTTTTCATTTAGTGTGCAGTCAGCCAAAAAAGTGATCATCATACAAATTCCATGCATGGAGATTGTATGAAAATCATTTTTTCCATAGACTAAGTGTATGGATTAGCATGATAAACCTTTTCCTTGAATAGAGATCAACCCGGGTAGGCCACCTGTCAGAGATAAAACCAGAGACACTTAGATTTTAAAAGTACTTCTAAGCCTTGTTGTATTGGTGCTGGAGCAGTACTGATTTGCTCTGCGACATTAAATCCGGTTATTGTCTTTGTTAAATAATGTTGAGACTTTTGACAAATTTAAAAGTCGATCGAGCAAAAAAACTCAAAAAACTATCATGCAAGATCTGTCTGTTGGTTTTATAAACTCAAACGAAGGTCTGAAAGCAGACAGGTCATAAAGCAGAAATGTCGCCAGTGATGCGAGCCAAGTTAAAAGAATAAACATTCGAAATAAGTAATCAATTTTTTCTTGTGTACATTTGTTTTTTTTATCTCAATGCTGATTGGTTCATGAACTGTCTACTTTATGACCTGTTTAGTTTTTAATTATGTAATTCTAATCAAAGCAAAAACCTAGCGGAACAATTTTTGCAGTCAAAACAGCACAAGCTAACCAAAACATTATTTTAATTTCGCAAGAACTCTAATGATTTTTCCTGCAGACTTCATTACGCTGTTCCGTTTTGTGTGTAGGCTAACACCACCACTTTTTTCAAAAATCCTTTTCGTTCATCGCAAATAGCCCGCCAGAAAAATAAAACCAGTTTTCCTTCGTGATTATTTACTCTAACTTCTTGTCTCTGCAAATTGCTGTCGTGTTCCGCCGAATGAAATATTTGGGGTCTGTTTTCATTTTCATGCTGTTTTTCTGGGATCTTGTGGTCGTTTTGCTGTTGGTGATTGTTTTTTTTGTGTTTGACCGGGCATAAATTTGGGACAGTTTGTTTACCGTAAAAATAAAATTAAACCATTTTCTACACCACATTTTGCTATGTAAAGACTTACTTTTGCAATGAAAAGATTGCAATGAAAAGATATTTGATCATTTTAAATCATATTGTTTCCGCTGAGGAGTTTTTTTATGCGCGGAACTTTAGAGCCCGTGTTTCTCAAAGTTTTGTCTACTTTCAAACAAAACGTGAAGATCAGCTTTTTTCGACGAAATTGATTTTGAACTCTTTTTTGAAAGTTTAAAGAGGAAAAACGTTTTTCCGACTTGAAAATTTTGTTCATATTCGCGCCTACGGCTTGTTTCACTAAAAAAAAATTGTTGGTCAGTCAAAAATGGCTGCCCTAAGATGTACCTAAGTGGTGTGTGTGTGTGTGTGGGGGGGGGGGGTTGTTGGGGGGGGGGGGGCTTGTGGTGTAGAGTTTCGAGGACTCTTGAACTCCCCTCCCCCTTTAAATGCTGCAGTCAAATCATTGAAAAAAGCACCTCTGCTGGACTTAAATGTACAAGTTTCGAGCGTGATTGTCGTTCGTAGAGCTCGGCTGCAGTTTCTGATTTCGATTCCGCTTGCCAGTTTTTCCAGTCTGAATACAATGTTATCATAATCGGTAATGAGCCAATGAACAACAAAAAGAAAAATCGAAGTCTCAATTGATTCATTTTTATCAAACTCAACATATAAGTTAGTTTTAACTTCGAATAGTTAACTGAGCTGAATAATGGCACTCGAAAAAATACTTTCTCATAAGATTTAAAACAAGCTATAGAGTTGTAAGATTAATTTCAAATGTCTGAAGTTGGTTTTCGAGCGTCGGTAATCGTGCGCAGGTCATTGTTTGAAGCTAAAACTATCTTAATGGTCAAGTTTTCTTGTTATTCGTATTTTTTTTATTTTATCGTATCATGCATTTTTTACCATGATGATTTTCATTTTTTTAAAAACATTTTAGGGGCCAAAAACTGATTTTGGCTGTGCAATTTTATAATTTTTTCTACAATAATTTTGGCCCAAAACCTCATTTGATTTTTATCTGTGATTTTTTTCTGTGCTTAATACAATTTTGTTATCAAGAAGACCAGCTGTTTGCTCGTATTTTGCATCGCTTGATCGGTGTTTGCATGTGTCTCTGGAATCAAAAGACAAAAAAACCTGTCCAAATCTGTAAGCCAAAATGTTGCGGAATCCATAATGAAACATTGTAACAAAAATTTTATCGGCAATTTAAATGATTTAATGTGTCGTAGAATTTGCAACGGGCAAATGTTTTTGCTTTTTTAAACGGATTCTAAATTTGGAAAAAGGCTCCGCAAAGTTCCTTTTTACCAAAATTGGCGTTTTTTTAGAGGATTCTGCAAATTGTTATGAACTGCGCAAAAAATATATATTTTTTTGCAAAATGTGGAATTAGCTCACATAATGCTAAATCCGTGACAAAGCTATCCACTACACATGCATAAATAAATGTTCATGGATTTCGGGCCAGCGGAATCCAGATCTGGATTGCGCATATGTTGCTGTTGGAGCATCCGTTTTAAGCGGAACAATGTTTAAGCCAATTCTTTTTTTTTGTATTTCACAGCAAGAAAAAAGATCATCCAAATAGTCTTGCTTTGAATCCCAGGAAGAATTTTTGGCGATATTTTTTGTAGTGTCTACTTACAAAACAAATTGTCTACCTTCGTAATAACACTGATGTTTTTTGATTTTCTAAAGCCAATATTTGATATCAATTAACCAATTTTTTTGAATTTTCTAGCATAGTTTTGGCTTATGTTCTCGCTAGAATTCTTAGCGAGAAAAAACCAAGGTCGTAACTAATGAGTTTTCTGGTGAACGAAGAACAGTGTGTGAAAAAAGGCGAAAACTTAGAGATTGAAACAAAGTTCACAAACTGTTCAGGCGCCATTTTAAAGTTGACTTTTTAATGTTTTCATTTTGCGTATTTTATGACATTGAGTTCTACTTTTAAATACCAAAATTTATGGCAGTTCGTTATTCTTTATTGACCTGTAATTTCCGATAATTACGGTTAATTCACGTATGAATTGAAATGTTGTCAATCGGGCAGCTACCCAAAACCGATCTACCTCAGTACCGAAACGAGGCAGAAGTATGGTCCGCCGACCCGGGCAGGAGCAGTTCCTGTATGCGAGAGCTGACCCGGCTGATCTTAGAGCTCTCACCTCTTCTCGCTCTGTTGGGGGGCAAGGATGTTCTCGCTAGAATTCTTAGCGTGAAAAAACCAAGGTCGTAACTAATGAGTTTTCTGGTGAACGAAGAACAGTGTGTGAAAAAAGACGAAAACTGAGAGATTGAAACAAAGTTCACAAATTGTTCAGGCGCCATTTTAAAGTTGACTTTTTAGTGTTTTCATTTTGCGTATTTTGTGACATTACATTCTGCTTTCAAATACCAAAATTTATGGCAGTTCGTTATTCTTTGTTGACTTGTAATTTTCGATAATTACGGTTAATTTACGTATGAAATGAAATGTTGTCAATCGGCCAGCTACCCGGAACCGATCTACCTCAGTACCGAAACGAGGCAGAAATAGCTTATAACTGCTTTGTGTTGTTATTCAGACCACAAATAGGTAGTGCTAATAACTGTCGAAATGAGTCGAATGATAAATTAGATTGAATCCCTTGCAGAAGTAAAAGAAACACTTTTAAAAGTTTTGTCCAATAAACCTTTGCAGTGTAGAAAAAAACGGTTTAAAAGTTTTGATTTATTCTAGTTTCGAGCCACTAAAGCGAGCGAGCAAGCTTTTGATGAGAAACTAAGAGGTCATGTTATGATTTTTACACCAGGAATGTTGGTTTTTGAAGCTTCCTTTAGCGACTTCTTCACACAAAAATTCCCCAGAAAAGCAAATAAAATTGCGCAAAAAATTTGAAATTAATATGGTTTTTTAAAATTAGTTTTATGATTAACAACGTTGATAACTTTCTTGATCAAAATCATGTTTAATTGACAAGATTGGTATCAAAATTGTAGAACGAAGACAATATTTCTGTGGATATGTTGGTTCAGAAGAAGAAAAGCGCAACTTCATTGAGAGAAAAGTCAATATTTTCTTGTGTGCATCGATGAGTTATGAAAAATTGCAGAGAATGAACTCCAAGCTGCAGCTGCACTGTTTGGTTTAACGAGAACATTGCCATTTGAATGAATTTTTGTTCAAAGAGTAGTAAAATAAACATCATAGTTTTTCCTCCACTCGAAAATGTTTCGGAAGAATTTTTTTGTCAAATCTCCTGGAAGTCTCAAGTATCACACACATGGATCCCATTCTCACTTTCAGCGAAACCACAAGGTTTGAGAGTAAATTGGCACGTTCGAAATCCAGTTGAATGTGCCAATTTAGCTTTTTCCGCTTTGTGGGAAGCAACACTTTGTCTTATGAAACATATTCAAAGCCAGGAAGGCTGTGATCAACACAAGCACAAAGCAAAACTAAAAGCAATGAGAAACCATCAGGGGGAAAATTAAATTGGCTAGAAATCAACTGGAAGAAGCACTCGCTTTTCCGCCTGGTGATCAAAAACGTGCGGTGCTGAGAAGTATAAATATTAACTTTTCTCTATGGTTAACTTGATTGCCGCTTTCAAAAGATAATTTCGACCTTTCAAAGATGTTCAGAGATGCTTTTGTATTAGCTCTGAAAAGTTCTTTTGAAGGTATACTCTATGTGTGAAGTAACCAGAAAAATTTGACCTAGAACACGCTCTCTTTTGCAAAAAAGGTGGATCGAGGAGGTTAAGCCATAGCAAAATTTGGAATACAATAAAAGATCTAGTTTCCATGCTCTGCAAAAACGTGAAACGGTAGCTTGTTTTCAGTTTCAGATTGCAAAGATCGGCATAGTTTCTTTACTCTACCAGTGGCATTGGAGTCTAGGCATTCGAATTTATCTTCTTTTTGAAACGAATTGTAGATGGATTGAGTTGAAAGTGGGACCGGCCGCACAGCCAATTTATATGGTGGGTTCTTTGTAGAAGTTCTTTTGCCATCCTGACAGCAACCAACATAAGCATTAGTGGCATAGGGACTAAAAGATGGCAGCATCACCGGCATGGCAGTTTAGTAGTTGGAGCAACAAAGAGATATGAAGAAATTTTCCCGCCTTTGATTATGCATGACTTTGCCCTTAACAATTTCCGGAACATACACATTTGTTGAAATTGATTCAAAGATTCCTTGCAAATGCCTTGAAATTTCTGTTTTACTTTGTTATAATGGGCTTTTTATGGCTGATTGCTAAAATGAATTACAATGGTTTTACAATTCTTTTCAAGTTCTTAAAGTGTTATTATTATTAGTTAAATTGGGTTTACTTTTGTCTATGTTGCTCTCTGTGATCCCTTTTTTCTCTCATAAAACTCCAGTATGTGCATTTTATTTTCAAAAAATGCAAAAAACGCGCACGTCGCTATCATATCTTACGCAATCTTCGGAAAACTACTTCGTAGATTATTAGCTAAATCAAATATAGCAAGACTGTTCGTATCAGTGCAAAACCGTAAGCGCGTGGAGTAACCCTTGAAATTCTATCGGAAATAGTTTTTGATAAAAACTTTCATAAGTTTTTAATGACAAAATTTCAAAAAAGTCTAAAAAATGATCACCGCTTTTTATATATTCTCACTAAACGCTATATCAAGTTCAATGTTATGTACTTAGTTTTATTAGTTCTTAGGAATCAAATTTTTCAAAAAGCTTGCCTCAAGTCAGTTTGGATCTATATCGTAGCCGGAATATATCGTCGCTTGTTCGTTAACAGCACGAAATATATCGCGTGTTAGTTGTGTCAAACTGTCCTTTTTCATACCTAGTTAAATTTGCAAAAACAGGGTAAATGAAATGTGCTTTCTAAACTTGAGTTCTCAAAAAGTCATTACTTTTTAGATAGCATAAAACAAACTCCGCTCAAAAATGGCTCGCTAAATAGTTGAAATTTGTTCTCAGAAAAAACCACTTCGATCACAACTGTTACACTCTTTCTTCGATAGTCGGAACAATACATCTTGTATCGGAACTCTAAGTTGCACGGAACAATACTTTTCATACATTGCAATAAAATTTTGATTGAACGTTTGATTGTTTTTTAAATTTTTGATGAGATAAAATAAAAATTTTTCTGTCAGTTCTTCTGAGCAGGAAAAAAGGATTCTCTTCTAGTAGCCAGAAGATTTCTCTTCAGTTCCCGGTTGAGGGCGTTCGAAATTGCCTTTGGTGTGCTGTCCAATTCCGAAATTGAGTCGCAAGAAGGCTCTTTGGATCTACGCAGCTTGGTGGTCCTCGCCATTTTGTTATTGGAGGTCCGCTTCGGCTTTTCCATCAGCTCGTCCAAGAAGTTGCGTTTGTTCTCGTCTGAAAAAAAAAACAGTTCAGGCTTCGAGGTGTTTTTCAAACTAATTTTTTATTTTTAGTTTTTTTATAACTGAAACTATTTTTTTTTTATATTTAGATTTTTTTCGCATTTCAGGAAAATGAAAAGTGTTATTTAATGAAATTATTTTTCTAACCATCAATCCAAGCAACTAATCGTTTGATAAAGCAGTTCATTTTCTTTGCTTATTGCTTTAGATTTTTATTCATTAAATACGACGCCAAACTTGGTTTTGAAGCAAAACACAACATTCTGTTTCTTTGAGTCTATTTTCCTGTTAATGTTAGGGTTTTAATGTTAGGGAGGCTTCTGTCGATGGAATCGAATTACAAATCAAGCGTACTCAAAACGCCAACATTTTTCATTCTGGAATTGGAAGACAAAATTGTTGTGACCATTGAAATGATTTTCGCAAAAATTCGGTAGTTTTCACGAATTCTCAAATTAAGGTTTCTCAAACTCGTTAAATTAGCCCCTAGTTTTTTGTAATTTGTCGCTGGATTCCTCATTATTTGACTGTTTTTGCATTTTTTGACTATATTCCGCACTTTGCCACAATGTTTCACACTTTGTAAATGGACTCTGATTAGCGTATTCTGAATTTTTGCATTGCATTTTGCTTTTCGTAATGGGTTTTTTTAATTTTTTTTTACCGGTTTTCCTGTTTTGTTTCTGGAACAGGCATTGTCTTTAGATTTCAAACTTTGCCGCAGCAGTCGGCTTTTGTTAGTGGAATACAGATTTAATCACAAGGTTTAGCATATATTCACTGATTCTGCAGCAATTTGAGACTAGATTCCTAATTTTCTCAATAGTTGCTGAATTTGGCACAGAATTACAAACTTTGGCACTGGGCTCTGTAAACTGCATTTTTTACAACGTTCCCCGATTAGTTATGGAGTCTGCATGTTGGGATTATATACTATTTTCTGTCAATGATTCTGAAAATCGGCTCAAGATTCCGCGATTCTGAATTGGTTTTCGCACTTTTTCATTAGTTTCCGCGTTTTGTTACTCTGGCTTCTACGTTTTGTCCAAGGATTTCGTTTTTGTGACTGATACCGCATTTCGCCTCTGCATTTCGATTTTTGCCAGATGTAGCAATTTCCATAAGCATTTGGTGAATTCTGCATCAAATTCATGCATGAATATAGGAAATTATAAGAGATTATAAGAGATTTTCGGAAAAAATATAATCAATTATAATTGATTATAATTTATTATAATGTCACAAAAAATGTTATCATTACAATGGATTATAAATCGTTCAACCATCTCAGTTTGGCGCTTATAATTAATTATAATTTTGATAGCAGTCAATTAAATTTGTAATGTTATCGATTATTTTCTCTTTTTACTGAGTGCGGGTGTTAACAGGCAAATCGCAGAAAAAAATGGGTTTTTTAATGCAGTATTGAACAAATGCTTCTGAAAATTGCTACACTGGCCATAAAGCGTTTAGTAAAGGCATCCAAAACAATCATGGCTGCTTTGGTTTCTACAGTTCGCGTTGTCTCTAGATTCATTATAAATACTTGCTCGCCAGTCGTTGTGTAACGACTAGTGTTTAACAACATAAGTTTCGAATCCACAAGATTTTGTTGACTCAGCCGCGTTTTAAAACATTGTGGAAATTGGTGAAAAATTCAAAGAATAGTGGCGAGGTTTTTAATTAGAGACTATCAGATCGTGTATTTGGCACCATGCGGCGGCAATCATAGTGCTCTTACTTGAACACTAGATTCAGGCCTGTCACAGCCTTACCAATTACGGCTGCAAGAGTGGTACCACGTGAAAGTTCAAGACGCAAAAAAAAACTTTGGCTTGCAAGAAAAGCTTCGCTTAATTAAGCATCTCAGTTTGGAATGTGAGGAAGTAAGAGAAATGGACTATATGCTTAGACAGGCCTGATAAACCTTCCGTATATCCTCTGCGAATCGCAGAACTCACTTAACTATCATAAGGCTTTAAAATTTACAAACCAGTCCAGAGAGAAATCAGTTTCCTTACATATTACTCAAGCTTGGTATCGCTTGTCAAATTATTCATCAAAAAAGCACTTTGTGAACATAATTTTGAATTTTAGAAACTGTAGGTTGGAGAAAACAGTTTTTCAAAATGATGTGAGTGTTTTTTCTACAGAAAATAATTAATTTTCCATTAGTATTACCTGGTGTGTCTTCAACCTGCTTAGGTTTTTTCTTCTTTGTTACAGATGACCCTTTCATGTCTGACATTTCCTGTCGTTTCTTCTTTTTCTCCGCCTCCTTTTTCATTTGTTCACGCTCTTTCGCTATCTCTTCACAACTTCTCTACAATTACAATACAGTTGAAAAACAGCTGAACACTCAAGAAAAAACAAATCGTCAGTAACGATGAAGATTTCAAGAAAATAAATAGTTTAAAAAATGTCAAATAAAATGCCCAAGTTGTGCAAAGTTTATAAAAATCAGTCTGAAATCATGTAATTTTTGGCAGTTTTTTTGAATTTTTTTTCTTCAAATTTTGTGTTGTTTTTTCAAGCGTACTTGTCTGAAAAGAGTAGGTTTAAGTAGTTTGTAATGCTAATTTTACCTGAATATCACTCAGAAACTGTGTAATAGACTCGAAAATATCCCTCTTTTTCACAGGCGAGTCCTCCGGAAAGAACTTCAACTGTAGCCTTTTGAACTCGGTCTGGTATCTGGCAACCATGCTTTCCAGTAGCTTAACATTCTCCACTGACTTGTTATGGAACAGCTGCATTTTCTTCCTGAAGTTGTCTTTTGGGCTAAGGTCTTTTTTGTTCTCAAGAAGGGTGCCGAGTTTGTCTACTTTGGCTTTGAGTGATGCAAACCTCGAATCTATTGACTCTTCTTCGACTACAAAGTTAATTGCTCGAAAGTTGGGATTTAGGCAGCTTACTGATCGGTTTTTATAGGTTGTTATTTTGCGTTCAAGTTGATTTGTTTTGAGTAGAAACAGTGAAAAAACTTGCAGAAAATCAACCATCGGCATACAAATTATAAAAAATTTGCTAACACTCAGTTAGAAATGAGTCATTGAATGCAAAAGAACAAAAAAACGGACATGTTTTTTCTCAACTTTCACATTTCCAAGAAAGAGTTATATGGCCTTAAAGCTGCCAGAATCTCTAGAATAAATTATGATTGACTTTTTTGATAAAAATTGCCCAATTTGATAAAACTGGATTAATAGGTAAAAAATCTGAAAGAAAACCTGAAAATTAAATTTCGTTTGCGAAAGTAGAAGTCAATCCCGTTTTCCGTGATCTTCACACTTTTTCTGTCCGATAGTGGAATTTTCTTTCTTTTAAAAAAGGAAATAAACTGAAGTTAAAAAAAGTCAATAGTCAAAAAGCAAAAAAAAAAAAATGAGCCTGAACAAATTGTAATTTTTTTCCTCAAAAAACGGCAAAAAATCATTGCGTTCTATATAAGAGTCTGAACTATGTTAATCGGCTCTTAATAACCCGAGACTATTGCGATTCTCACTTCTAAAAATCATAAAATTCAATTTTTCAAAAATAATGATATTTTGAGGTTTTGAGAAGTTTGATCTTGCTAATCTGATCTGAAGTTTTCGATTGGCAATTCTATACCTGAGCTAGCTGGAATCACGTGACGCAACTCTTTCAGAAGGTTCTGGACCAGAACTGGGTAGGGGTCTTCAGGATCTTTTGGAGGAGGAAGGAAAGAAACCAGAATATGCAGCATCGTTTTGGACTTGTCAACTGATGATTTCAATCCAGACCACTGAAAAAGATTTGTTTTTTTTCTTCACTCAAATAGCTGCTATTTTCAACCTTATATCAGGTTTCAGTTTTGGAAAAAAAAAGTTTTTTTTTTGATTCTGAAGTTTTTATCGGACTTTGACCAAATTAGCTCTTTTAACTTCCTTTCTAAAACTTTTACTGAGAGTTTTAAAAAGCAACCAGAGCATATTAAAATGGCAACCTTGGAAAGATAACCAAGTTAGGATCCTCAACCCCCAGCGTTTAAGCTTTAAATGGGATTAAATTTTCTAAGCTCTGGGTGTAAACTGCAAGATGCTGAAAACTCTAAATCAGAACCAAGTTAACAACCTGCCCTTTAACCGGATTTTCGGGAGAGGTGATGTTAATTTGGCTTAAATGGAGTTCATGAATTAATGATAGAGTTATAGTTAAAGCCAAACTGTTTGCAAAATTGGTGGGTTTGAGCAAGTTAATTTGTCAGAAACGTTTTTTTTTGGTTAATTACATTTTAAACACATTTTAAAAGTGCTGACGTCAAAATTAGCAGATCTAGTCAAAGTTACTTCACTCAGTTGCGTTAACCGAAAATAGGATTTTGCCAGCAACTTGGCTTTAACTACATACTGACGTCTTTTAAGTAGCAGATGTCATATCCAATTGCCTTGGATAATTTATGGCCTGTGTTCAGCACATTTCCAAAAACCAGAGTCTGTTTCAAAATCTGAAGAAAGCTCGCCGAGTCATTTATGTCTCTACAGGCTTCAAAAAGAACCGTCACATCCTGAAATTTTATTGGATGAAAATACAACGCTTCCTTAAATGGTATTTTTTAAACTACAGAAGTGAACAAACTGATTTGATTGGTAGAAATTCGGAGTCGAATTGAATCATTAGCATCATGTTTTCGGTTCGTATTGCAATGTCTTTAATTTCCGAGAGATGAAGCAAAAATTTTTCCGAGGATAGCATTTCGGATCCTTGGAATTCGGCCACTTTGTTGCAGAGATTTTCGCCCTCCTTGTTTATTATTTTGGACCTCAGTTCTTTCAAGGTTGACTCGTCTAGCAGTTCGGTGTCAACTGACCATAAAGCGTTGCTGACTATGTCTTTGGTAAGTTTTTTGCTGTTGAGGAAAATATCTAGAAAAAAGAAAAGTTTTTTTTTTCGTGAGTACTTTTACTATAATATGAATTTGTACCCAAAGCTAACCTATGCTCATACTGGAATCCTGGTCCAAAACAAGCAGCGGTATTTTTTTCTTGGCAATTTGTTCCGATTGTTCGTCTGATGATTCGCTATCAGTCGCAGCTAAATATCAACAAATACGAGAAAACTAGAGAAATAAGAGCAAAAGTTATCGATAATCATCAAAAGTAACGACCTTTGCTTGGTTTGCTGGAGAACTTTGCGGCTAACTCTCGGATTTGTGAATCTGTGATTTCTTCGCCCATGAAGATCCAAATACTTTGTTCATTCAGCTTTTCTTCGTCGAGCTAAAGCGATAACTTCTTATGAACAACAATCTAGTTTCTTCTTTTTAAAAAAAATGGTCCAAACGTTCTTAATTTTGAGTCGTTAAGCCTTTTTTTCGCATATGAAAAGATTAAAATTGGAGTATATAGCTTTCTAAAACGTCTTCAACAACGTTTTTTGGTTTTTTTTTTGGTTTTTAAACGCAGAATTCCTTATATTGAGATTTTACGCAATTGGATAAATTTGTGAGACTCCGAGTACTAAAAAAAAATATATATTCTAGAATGAAGATCTGAACATGCCCGAAGTACAGCTTGATTGAACCAGTTTTTATACATTCAGACGAGTTATAATAAGTTATAAATATCTGGGTAGGAAATCTCTAACTAGATCAGCTAACTTCATCATCAGTTTTTTTTTTACCTTTTTCCAGAAAACTTTCATTGTAGGATTTGTCAATTTTGACTTGAAATCTCTTCTAGCAGGAAGTTTCGCGTGTCTGGACTTTTTTGGGATCGGAGCTCCACCTCCTGGCGGTGGTGGTGGCGGTGGAGCACCCCCTGGACCCGGAGGAGGGGGAGGAGGTGGCGGAGGACCTCCAGGACCTGTGGGTGGAGGTGGGACAGGGGCAGTTTCTGCAACTGGTGCAGGGGGAGTGTCTGCCTTGCTAGAATCTGAAAAGAAAGAATTTATGAATTCTCTAGATCAATCTGGCGAAGCATAATTGGAGTGATTATCAAGAAAAATTGAGGCTAGCCCAAAAACTTATATAGTTTTTTACAAACCATAACTTCTATTTTCATAACGAAGTACTATTTTAAGACTATTCCTCCCTTTTGTACTAATTTAGGACTTCAATTCTGGACAAGCCAAAAATTTTTCTTTGACACATTTGTGCACTAATTTTGAGTGGAGAGCGCGCGCCAAAAAACGCCATTTTATGGTCAAAATTTTCCGAAAAAGTCCTAAAATTGTCTTTTTTGGCCGAAGGACTTGCCTGCAAAAAGTTGTGCCAAAATAAGTTCATTATATTGATTTGCGAGAGCTTAGAAAATCAATTTAATTTTACCTACTAAAAGGTAAAAATGTTTTAAATATAAAATTATTAATTGTGTTCTGTGCGCTGAATGTCAATGAGGTGATTTTGGGTTACCTTTAGGAAGGAATCCTGTCATATCTCCAGGATCCAAGTCGTTCTCTTTCATCTAAAATATCACTTGACGGCGGTGAATTAGAAAAGACTCCGTTTGTCAATCAAAAGGTCAGGTGTTCGAGGCCCACCATGATCCGTGCTCGTTGCACGAGAGTGAGACAAAATTAGTCAGTCAAAAATATATATTCAGAAAAAAATATAACTTCATTCATAGTTTAGTCTTTTCCCTCGACGATTCTTCTCTTAATTAACTTAAAGTTAAAATCCATTTACACTTTGGGTTTGAACGAGCTATCTGTTCAATCACGGTGCTTCTTGGAATTGTAAAATATTTTTCGATTTAATTCTCCGATTTTCAAAAAAAATGACAGAAAAGATATTTTTTGGGATCGTTTTGATTTTCAGGTGAAATCAAGCTATCAAACTAATTTTTTTGAAAACAAACAAGACTGCTCGCATATCAAGGCAAGCCCTGAATGTTCCGGCTGCCCATGAACTGATCTGGAATCGTTTTTAGTAGATGAAATAATAACAAACTACAAATTTTAGACTGATAATATCAAAGATTTGAAAATAGTTAATATCAAATTGAATAAATAAAACCAATCAGCTTGCCTCAATTCAATTTGGAGTGATTCTGAGTGCGGATAATTTGCCACGCATAAATAATTCACGTATTAAAAAAAACGATGAAAGTCTATTTACAGCTGCAGAGCCGCACTTTACGCAAGTGCAAGCATACCCGCTTGACAATCACAATACTTCCGGATCGATGCTCATTCGCAGTAAACTTTTTTAAATTGATCTGAATAAAAAAAACCACCCCGGGCATTTGTATTTCTCACTTTCTTCGAAAGTCAAAACAAAAATGCTGTTGGAAAATGAGTTTTAAAATTGCGAATTTGGCCATACTTTGGGCTAGTATTTTTTCATTGTTAAATATTTTATCTATGATTCTGAAAAGGCAGCACAAATTTTTTATTCGTGGTGATTTATACTTCAGGCCAAAATGTTCCAAATTGAGACGAGGCAAACCAATTGTTGAAGGAAATTCCTTCTCAAAAACAAACTCAACACTTAGTATTTGATTTTATAATTTTATAATTTTTCTTAATCGAAAATAAGTCGACACGACTAAAGAGGCAATTGAAACATTCAAGGCTCTGCGCTGATATAAAGCTTTGTATTATGCCATTGAATATTTAAGAGCAATTTTTAGATATCCCTGCGGGTAGGCTTGGCAAAAATCAAGCTTTTCAACTCATTACGGCAAACTGTTGTCGTGCTCCTATTATATTGTGTTGTTGTGCTCCCAGAAGTTATAATTTTATAAACATTTTTCATTGAAAATAGTTCGATACGACTAAAGTGGCAATTGAAACATTCAAGGCTTTGCGCTGATATAGAGTTTTGTATTATACGATTGAGTATTTGAGAGCAACTTATACATATCCCTGGGGGTAGACAAAGCAAAAATCTAGCTGTTCACATCATTACGAAAAACTGTTTTTGTGCTCCTATTATATTGAGATCTACAAGCTAACCTTTTTTCCCGATTTTTATGGAAAGAGACAACATTTGTGGTCGCTTGGTTTTTTGTTGTTAGAATTGTTGTTCGAAAATGTAACAAAAAATTTAATCAAATTGAATCAATTTTTTTGAAAACGTTTAGAAATAATATTAAAAAATGTAAGAAAAATCTGAATTAAAAATTCATTTTTGACGCCTAAAAGGATAATCGGAGCATTATGGGCTTTGCCCAGATACGAGCAGAATTGTTTGGCCATTTTTCTGGGTTGGATATTGGATATTGTCTCCACGCACTAGCAACCAGCACGGATCATAGCATCGAACCACGGACATTTTTGATCGAGATGGAGACTATCGCAAACCAGAGCAGTTTACTTAACCATAACTACTTTTTTTGCAATTTTGATACTGCTTGTGGCTTACTTTTTCGACCAGCTGTAACATTTTTTCCTTGAAACGCTCCAATTGCGTTTCCAGTTCAAAAGATTTTCCAGAATCTGAACTTCCGAAACTCTAAAACAAAATACAGAAATTTTAACTAGAAAAACATCACTTTATGAATCAGAATCATAGATAGTTTGATATAAGTAATATAATATTTCCAGTAGTACCTGAATCGAGATTCCTTTTTCGACTTTCATCATTCTAATTTCGATGTTTTTCCAAATCTCTTGTTCTGATTGGGGAACAACGGCTGCAGACTCTTTCGGATCATCGTCTATCGCCCCTGTAAGAGTACTTTTTCGTTCGGTTTTTGCCGAGTTGAAAAGGAAAGCGTTTTTGTATTCGGAGAAATTTTCTTCGTCAAAGTTCACTGCGTATTGAGATATGACTTCAGTGATCCATCGTATTCGCCGTAACCTGAAACAATTTCACGAAAATAAGCTGCTGCGCAACATTTTTTGTCGACTCTTTTCCAGTTTCCCCTTTGATTTTTTCGAAAATTTAGTTTAAGCATCAAAACGTATCAGCGTGAACAGAGGAACAATTTTTGAACAGCTTTATTTTGAAACTTTACGAGGGGGTTGGGAAACTGGGCACAAAGCCTTTTTGTCAAAATAAGGTCTTTATAGTGTTCTGGGAGTGCACGGAAAAACAATTAAAAAAACCTACGACAGCTCGACAAAATTTTTGAAATTTTTTTAAAAATACGCCCGACCCCTCTAGAAAACCCTAGATCCGCCCCTGTATATGCACCATAGTTTATAAATTTTTAATCTACAGATTTCTTACAGCGGTAGAACATAAATTTTTTACATGCATCAATTTTTTTCCAGGCGGAAATGGTTCAAATTGACGTTTTAAAACCAAAAGAGTTTCCGATGTCTTTCATCCTTGAACCTGATCCAAACTATATATTATTATTGGTTATAAATTGGATATTTTATCACTATAAAGTTTTTTAATATTAACCAATCTTGATCCATCTAACTAACAACCCACTTATTTTTAAGTGCTGAAATTACTTGTAATTTCAGCACCAGAGAGATTTGAATTTAATTTAGAAATTAGTTACTTATCCAAGAGACCTTTTGGCAATCGCAATAAGCCAGTATACTCTAGATCTATTGAGCCTAGCAGAGACTAGTTAAACACCCGAGACTAGTAGATATAAGAGTAAGAATAGGATCGGTAGTAGACTAAGAAGTTGCACGAATCTATCCGGCCGATAATAAGATAGCGTGACGAACAGACGGTGTACCCTATCTGAAATTACTCTATGAGTTGGAGATCAGACCCAACTCAATCCGAAAAATTTTCGAAGCCGGTTACCTGTACAAGTCTCCTTTGCCAGTACTGAGCATGAGCAGCATTTGCATAATTTGCATGACATAGCCCTCTAGCGGCGTATTCCTGGTCACGTGCTGCAAATACTCCGCAACACCAACGTAATTCGTTAAAGTTCCCGCCTCGCAAGTTTTCCTTAGTGAGTCATTTTCAGTTTCTTGGTTCAAATTTTGGAAGACGAGACCTTCAACTTCGAAAATATAGGAGGCATCGCTGAAGAGCTTTTCATCTACTAGAGTCGATTCCACGTCGTCCTCCATCCCAATTTCATCGATTATTTTCTACAAAATTCTGACACAAATTTAGTTGAAACAACATTTTTTGCTAAGTTTTTGGTTCTTAATATCTATTTCCGGCTCTTTTTCCTTAACCACCCCCCAAAACTTAATCATCAATTTTACGGCGGGTATAACGATGGGTTGTACAAGGTTAAACATGAAGACCAAATATGTTTGTCATGGCCTAATTAGTTCGCATGCCAATTTTTGTAACATTCGGATGATGTGCACAAAATTTCTTTAGTAATATTTTGCAGGTGGGGGGGGGGGGGTTTGGAGAGAGCTTTATTTCCCATCCCCTTATTAAGAAAGAAAGGAAACTCGTTACAAGGTTCAATATTATCATATATGCTTAACTGTTGATTTAGATATGCATCGGGTATATAGGCGGTGGGGGAGGGGGGGGGGTGGGGCTCTGGGCTTCTAGAATGATTAAAACGATCCAAAATTTTGAAGAGGGTTCTTACGTCTGCCTTTGAAGCAACTCCAAGACCCCTGAATTCCTCCCAAACAGTTGCCAAGTAAATCCAGTTATTATGCTCAGAAATCGCCTCGAAGATGCCGCAGACAAAACTTAACGCCTCTTTCTAGAAACAAAAACTTATTTTACTTTTTGTCTGTCAGTCTTACTTCGTGATAGCCATTTATTCAGTGAGTGTGTCCGAAAGATTTCAACTACTTTCAGTCCAAATTGATGATGATAACTTTTACCTAGTAATGATGATGATGATGGTTATAAAGTGAAACGATAAAAAACACATTAGAATTTTTACAAAAAAGTGTTTGATAATTTTTACCTTTTTTGAGCAGCTAAAAAGAAGCAGACTTTTTGGAATTCGATTCTCACCAAAATTTGGTAGTACGACTTGCTTGAAGAAGAGCTGTTAGTAATGACTACATGAGAGAAACCAGTCACAGCACTAGCACTCTGAGTCATACTCGACATCTGACTCAAATTCGAGGGATGACTGAGAGCAGTCCCCCCACTTGAAACCCCGCTAGAAGTAGACAAAGAAGAAGTAGAAGTATTCGATATAGAAGGCTGGATGGAACCCTGTTCAAGAATTCCAGCGGATTGATTTAGACCGGTGATTGAGCCCCGTCTGCGGGTGTTTCCAGACGGTTTGGGCTGCCTTGGAAGCGTTCCGTAGTTGGATGTCACACTAACTGAGCTCACGTCTGTAACCTTGAGAAAAAATACAATGATGACTCTATGCTTAGGATGAACAGAGATTTTAGATTTTTTTTTATAGATTTGACCAGAACAAAGAGTTTTTTGGGCTCATCTAGTTGATAAACACCGAATCCAATTTATATAGTGAGTTTACAGTGCATATATACAAAATAACAGTCCCATACAAAATGAATGTTTTTTTTTTCAAATTTGAGAAACCTTTAGTTTTTTGAATATCAAAACTCACTAAAAGTAAAGTTCATGTGTTAAAATCAGCATTTTTTTGAATTTGATTTCATAATTTGTCCGTAAAATAGTCTTAATTTGCCAAAAACTTTTTGCAAGATGATTTTACAAGAAGTTTTTACAAGATGTTTTTTTTGCTTTTTTCTGGATTTTTATCTTGATTGTAAATCAGGGGCGGATCTAGGATTTTCTCGAGGGGGAGGGGGCGGATTTTCAAAAAATTTTCCAAAATTTTGATGACCTTTTTTTTTTTTAGGTCGACCAAATTGATTTTTCGAGCTCTCCCAAAGCACTGTTTTGCCCCTATTTTGGCAAAGTTTTCTGCGCCGCAGGCAAATTTTTGAAAAAACAGTCAAAAAAGCCGTTTTTGGGCACTTTTTGAAAAATTTTGACAAAAAAATAGCGTTTTTTTGGCGCGCGCTCCCCCTCAAAGTTAGTATATATTGGCGCCGAAGGCGCCTTTAGAAAAATTTTAGGGTCGGTCGGCCAAAAAGGGATTTCTGAAAAAGTATCAAAGGGGGGACCCTTTGGGTCGGCAGGGGGTCGAATCCCTGAGGGGGGGGGGCGTCCGTCCCCCCGCCCCCCCCCTAAATCCGCCCCTGTTCTAAATTGTTTTTTGGCCATAAATTCTGTAGTTTGAAACTCACTTTTTGCAAAATGGGAAGAAGAAGATATTAAGTACGAAATTTACATATGCTTAATCGTTGATTTAGATCATTATAGGGGTAGTAATTCGTTATTCAGTATGGAAAACAGTAAAAGAGATCACATTGGTCTGATTGCAAACCTGCAAACTCCGAGAAGAATCGACCAGATTTCTCAAAACTGTCATGGCGTCGGGAAACACTTCGTCCAATAGGGATCCAATCGGGTAGAACCGTTCACACTGAGAACCGATTCCGAGGATGTCCGATTTGAAAGTTTCGTTGTATGTTTTGTACCTCAACACTGCGTAGCTTGAAAAGGCCTCCAGCACAACAGGGTAACTGGAAAAAAACAAAGATAAGATATAAAAAAGTGCATTCCTTCTTTTGCAAAAAAGCGGATACTTGGGTTCGATTTTCAAGTTCGAAAAACAATTTTTCTAAAAAAAAATACTCGTATTCAAACCTTATGCACAGCTGCAGATTTGAAGAAATTGGGCAAAGTCTAATCTATGGCCTTCCTATTCGCCATTAACAGAGTGTTCTTTTTAGCTCAAAACTTCATGTTGTCAAAACCAGCAGATTTTGGGCCAAATATAGGTCAATCATTTTGGTATTTAAGGAAAATTCACAAAAAAGAAACTCTATTTATAAATTAACTTGATGCAATCAACGTTCTAACATCCTTCTCTCTTAGATTCCCCCAATTCTATTTTTATAACTATAAAATAGTAAAATTGTTTTCAAGAATGAAATAACTTGACTATAATTGAGAAATTAATCATTCTTGGAAAAACCCATTTTGGAAGAACATCAAAAAGGCCGATTAGCTGCCTTTTGAGTAGTTTTACAAACTTACAAAGCAACACACACACACACACACACACAAACACACAAAAACAGTTTTACGACTTACAAAGCAACTTTTTTGTAACTTCCATCTTTGAGTTCAATCGGGAGAATCAACCTCGAAATCGGATAGAGTAACTTCAGCGTGTCAAGACACAAACTCACAACCTCCTTGAACACATCGGGCGCGTCTTTGTCTTTTTCCCTCCCGCTGCTATGACTCATTTGATGGTTCACAAAAAATGAAGACAGATCATAGCCAGTGTAGGGTGTGATCTCAATGCACTTGATCAAGTACGCCAGACATTCGAGTTGGTAGTTGCCAGAAATAGCTTCCTCACTTGACCCTTTGATCGATTCTTCAGTTCCAAAGAGTTGGTAGAATTTTCTCAGACCCGGCTGAAAGTTGGAAATCATCCTTACCATCATCATCATCATCATCATCGTGGTTTAATTTTTTCACTGTTTCTTGATCTCGAAAATGATTTTTAAAATATCAACAATTTGGAATCAAGATAGAAATACCGAAAAAAGCAAAAAAAAAAACATATTGTAAAAAAAAATTTTTATGCAAAATGATCCCGAATTACAAAAAAGTAGAAAAAAGTTTAAGCGCTGAAAATTGTTTTAAAAGAGCTCAGAAATTTAGCTAGCCTGTTAACATGCGAAGACCGTAAAACAATGTGCGTACTAAATCGATTTGTTCACGAAGCAGAATAACCACTAGTTGAAAAAAGATACTTGATTTTTGAGTTAACGAAGCATAATCATACCATAGTATTACACATGGCTCTTATACACTTGACGCAGTTGTGTCTGACTTTAAGCACTTGTTCCAGCCAATTTCGGTCAATTGAGCAGTCGGCCAGACACTCGTCGAATGTTCTGTGTTTTATCTGAGAAGTTCCTGAAGATGAATTGCTGGACTTTTCTGGCTTCATCAGAAAAGAATGCCTGAAATTAGAAGTTGTGTCAAGTTTGTAATTCAGTAACCCCCATTTGTTGAAAATTTTCCAATCGAACATTTACTCAATGGTAAAGTTGTAATTGTTTTTTTTTTCAAAACATGAAAAAAAGTCGAATCTTGAAAGTTTTCAGTTTTTTTTTATTTACCGCAGAGTTTCGAAGACACGTAACATGCCGCCATTGACAAATTCTCGCATCCATCTAAAACAAACAAAAACAAAAACATACAATTTTAATAATCAATTATTAAAACCGGGAGGGGAAAGGGGATTATGTCTACCTTTTTTTAAGTTGACCAAATTGATTTTATGCGCCCTTATTCGACAGAGGGCCAAAATGAAAGAAAAAGGCCTAAAAATGCTTTTGGAAAGTGCTGATTAAAAATTCGCGTTTTTTTGGCGCGTGCTCCCCCTCAAAATTAGTATATATTGGCGCCAAAGGCTCTTTTAGAAAAATTTCGGGCCAGTTAGTCAAAAAAGGATATCTCAAAATATGACAAAGGGGAGGAAAAATCCCTGAGAAAGGGGGCACACAAAATCCGCTACTCACTGTATGCATATTTTTTCTCGAAACTTTATTTTTTTTCACAAAATTTTTCAGTTTTCCTACGGGATTGTGTTGTTTTTGAGCGCAACTGTCAAATCAGTGGTTATATTGAGTAAATCAGCGGCCGAGGAGTGTTTTAGGCCATATGGGCTGAGTTGCTGTTTGAACTGGTCGGCCGACTTGTCTGTCTGTCTCTTCGACTGCTGATGTCCCCCCTCTGCACTGCCTCCAGAGGAATAGTCCAGGAAGTCTGGGTTGCGCATGCAATGGGTGGCTAGAAGCGACTCCGCGTTGCCATCGTCTGCAACATTTTTAGCGGTTTAAAAAATCTGCATCTTAGAAAAAATTGGCTCTGTGAAAAATAAAATTCTGTGAAACTTTGATTTTGATTTTCACAAAATCAATGAAAAATTGAGAAAATCGAAGAAAGTTGAGCTTTTTTTCCCAGTTCAAACTCCAACTGGCATGCATAATTGCAGTTTACAACATTACAAATTATTTTAGAAAACTATTTTTGTTAAATTTCAGGGGAGAAATTGGAAAAGAGCCCAGAATTGCGATGATTTGTTATTGTTATCAAGAAAGTTGCAATTTTTTTCACGCCCCGCCCTCTCGATTAATCAAATGAAAATTTGCGATTCATTCATTTAAACTGAATTGAAACTGCGTAGCATCTGCGTAAATTAATCGATTCGTTTTGACTGAAACTGGCAATCCGTGCCGAAGTTGGAGTTCTGTGTCTAGACGGTTGACTCCATTTTCTAGTTTTTACAGTTTGTTGCGACCAAGATTGGGTACTTCCAGACAGCCGCGATTGAACTTCCGGACTTTGCAGGCCAAAAGCGACGACCGAAGCAACCGAAATAAATAGTTCGAGATGTGCGACTTTTGTTCGCTAAAATGTTGAAAATGTTGCATAAATTAATTAATTTATTTTTGCACAATTTTTAAATTTTGTTTTTGGTTTTAATAATGACTAAGCGTGTAACGCACCTCCGGTGCTTCGAATTTTCAACAACGCAAAAAACTATTCTTTGAGTGTACTATAACAGCACCCAATAGTAAAGCTTTTTTATTCAAGTTTTTTATACAAATTTTGAAGAACCATAAAATTTTGCGAAGTTTTATATAAGTTCTTTGAAAAAATTAAAATGAATTAAGAAACGTCATATCTGGGAAACTGAAAGCAATTGAGCAGTCGCATTTGGACGCACGATTTGCAACTCCTGAGAGTACTCTTACAGTACCCAACTACAACGTTGGGAAATTCAAATTTTGAGAAACTTCACCTTAAGCTTTCTAAAAAAAAGTTTTTGCATCTCGAAAACTACCAAAATTTGAGCAGGCTTTTTTGATGTCAATTTTCGCAATCTTTGAAAGTACACAACTACAGGGTTGGGAATTTCACTTTAACGAATTATTTTGTAATTTGAGTTTTCTGAAAATTTCCAAAAAAATCACAAAACTTGTCGTATCTTCTAAACAAAAATGATTTGGGCATTCTTAATTGGAAGCCAAAATTGCAACCCCTGAGATCACTCTGACAGCCCCCCAACTACAGATTAGGAAATTCAAACTTTGAAGAAAAAAAAATTAAATTAATTTTCATGAAAATTATAAAGAAATTATCCCAAAAAACGTCATATCTAGAAAGTTAAAAGGATTTGAGCAGTCAAATTGGGAGACAAAACTCCAAACTCCTGAGAGTACCCTGACAGAGCCTCACTACAGACATGAAAATTTCAAGTTTTGTGAAATTTTTTATACCTAAGTTTTCTGAAAATTTTTGAAAAAAATAAACCTAAAAAAACGCCATATCTCAAAAACTACAAGAATTTGAGCAGCCACATTCAGAGACAAGATTGGCAACCCCCTGAAAGTACCTTGACAGATTACAATAACAGGATTAAGATCTTCAAACTTTTGGAATTTTTTAACATTTTAACTTTTTTGAAAATTTCGGATAAAATCCAAAAAAAACGTCATATCTCGAAAACTACAAGGATTTGAGCAGCCATGATCAGAGGCAAGTTTCGCAACCCTTGATAGTACACTCAAAATATCCAAAAACAGGATTGAGATCTTCGACGTTTTGGAAATTTGTAAAAATCTAAGTTTTTGAAAATTTTTTGAAAAAATCATAAAAAACGTCATATCTCAAAAACTACAAGGATTTGAGCAGCCATGATCAGAGGCAAGTTTCGCAACCCTTGATAGTACACTCAAAATATCCAAAAACAGGATTCAGATCTTCGACGTTTTGGAAATTTCTAAAATCTAAGTTTTTGAAAATTTTTTGAAAAAATCATAAAAAACGTCATATCTCGAAAACTACAAGGATTGAGAAGTGAGAATTGGAGAGAGAATCGCAACCCTGAGAATACCCTGACAGCATCCAACTACAGGGTGAGGATTTCAAAAATTGAGAAATTTCTGGAAATAAGTTTTCTAGAAATTTTTGAAAAATCTCGAAAACTGCCTGTCTCGTAAACTAAAAGGATTTGGTTATTCATATATGAAGGCCAGAATCGCAGAACCTGGGAAAACTCTGACAAAATCCTACTATTGGGGTGCTAATTTCAAACTTGATGAAGTAAACACTGAATTTAAACAGGAAAATCGAAAAAAAAACTTAACCATTGCAATATACGTTATAGCTTAACCTTGAAAAATTTCATTCGTTAAACATGCAAAAATAATACGTTGAAAAAGCTTAAATATGGCAAATATTGAAGCCCGCATTTAAATATTTAATAAGTTAGCTTGATAATGATTTGAATCAGAAAATATTTCATATATTGTTTTTCAAAATTTTCGAATGCTCAAAGCGTGCCAATTGTTATTTCTCATAAACCAGATATTTCAACAGGACTATCCTCGATAAAACTGCTATTTTTTGTTTAAAATCATGCAAGATCCATCGTTTGGATTAGTATTTTTGACCTATATCAAGATTTTAGCAACTGATTTCCAGACTATGTCGAGACTAATTTCAAAACTTCAAAAAAAAATTTCGAACTTATGAAAATAAATTTTCAGACTAAAGCGTAACTTTTTTCTGGGATATACGTGACTAATTTCCAGGTTATCGCGACTAATTTCTAAACTATTGCGACCAAAAAAATATCTCTCGTGGTCAATTGTTTTCCGATAATTTTTTTCGGTTGAAAAAATTGTTCGTTCGATTGTTTCAACTGCATGGAACTCTTTCAAAGCGTTTTTCTCTAGTCGCTTTTCCTCGGTTGCTGTTAACTTTTCTTCGGTCGCGCCGGTCGCGGACTCATTGCTTTGGTCCGCAAAGTCCGGAAATACCAAATTTTGGTCGCAACAGGTCTGATCATAAAACCGCAATCTCGATCCGGGTACTCAAGTTTTGAGCAAGAATGTTGACTTGATGACAAATTGTGATGTTTTCAAGCTCCTTAAAGTGATTACAACATAACGTTTGTGATGAAAAGAGTCAAAATACACGTAAACACACCTAGCTTTGCTTTGATGCCATAAACTTCCTAAATTGAGAGTTATAACTTATAATGGATAAATTTTAAACCCAAAAATAAAATTTATCTTTAAAAAAATACCCTCGAGGTAAGGATCAACATATAGGTTGTTCAGCTCTTCACAGAGAACCACTGTTCTGTCCAGAACCTTTTTTGATTGCTTTCTGGGATGGGTAATGCTGGCTCACCCTCAATTAACGAACACGAATCATGGTAGGCATCGAACCACCGACCTTTTGGTTTAAAGGCGGGAATTTAACCACTTCAATTTCTAAGTTTTTTCAAACTTCTTTTTCAAACGCATATTATAATCTGAGGAGTAAAATTTTTTTTCTAAAAACATAAAATTTTTGGACAAAAAAAGTTTTTTTTTTATTACTTTTTGTTGTTTTTTGTTCCTTTTTTGAACTATAGGAACACTCGCCGAACTATTATTAGCTTTTTGCACGAGCTGGCTCCCCTTTGCACAGATTTATATACTTGTATTTATTCATATTCGATTGTAAAAACTACTTACAACGACGAAGTCGACCTTCTTTTTGTACATCTCGGGGTCATTTTGTTTCAGCTCTTTCACTTTCACCTTCCATTCTTCTTGGGGGTTATGGGTGGCCATTTCCAACTCTGTAGGGCTTGAGTTTAACTTTTAGGGAAACAAAATTAAGGTAAACTAACAAGAAATACAAACTAATTCGAGTCTGGAAGAACTTTCTAAAACTGAAAAAAAAGAGGCCCAATTTTGACAGTCTAAGAAATAAAACATATGACGCTTATAAGGCTTAACTCAGCTCATTGCGAAAGCATTAAGTTCTGAAATTGAGAAAACAAAAGTTTGTAACATAGATGGAATATCTATCATTGGTATGAAAACAAACACGATATGTTATTGAAGTTTGTTTGTAAATGTTTGATTTGAATGGACAAATTTCGTTTTCGCAATGTCCCGGTATCCAAAATTAGTCTGAAAATTAAAAACTAAATCCCAACAACGGTTGAATTTCGAAGGGGTAAGAACGACACTTTCACTACTCAGAGATTCGATTTCTGTACCACACGTTGGTGTGTTTTATGACATCAATTTGAACCGATTTTTGTCAAAACTGCTCAAACACGGGAGATTGAGCGCCAAAAATGGTTTCTACCGAAACGATGTTTTAGTCCTGTTTTCTAAAAGCTTGGCAAACTAAATTTGTGCGCTACCGTAAAAAGTAATTAATTCGACATTTTAGATTGCTTTAGAATGAAGAGTCACTCTTCGCTTTGAAATGAAAAAAACAAGTATGTGAATAAAAAAATGCATAATCAGGGATAGCCGGTTACTGTGCAAATAGCACAGAATGTTTTGACAATAGTGTTAACAAAAACAAAACATTTTTATTTCAAATTAGTGTCGTTTTTTTAGAGTGGTGTAATAAATAATCTGAACGAAAAAAAAAATATTTGGCATATTTGACACTACTAGTCGAATAGGCCGATTGGAAACAAATTTTGCAGAAAAAGACTTAAAAAAATAAAAAAAGTTTTTTTTTAATATCACACGCAGAATTTTTTTGAACTTTTGAAAACTTTGATTCCCCAAATGGCACTAAAACCACAAAAACTAAATTTGTTTGTGTAAAACTAAGTTTTCAAGGCTTAAGTTAAGCTAAAATAAGCGATTGTAAGCCTGCACGACGACCTTGTAAGCTAGAGATAAGACCGATAAAAAACAATTTTAAATTCTTCTAATGCAGTTCAAATTACAAAGTTTTCCCGCATTTTTCATTTTTTGGGCTACATGAACAGCGACTTTTTATTAAAATATAGAACTTATGCTCAAGTGGAAACAAAATGGCTAATAGATATTCAACTGGCACGGAATGTTATAACTATTCACTTTCTTATTAGTTTTTCATTACTTGATATAAAAAGGATGAGACAAGTATTTCGACAGCTCAAAAGAAGAGCTGTTAAATAACTTCAGTGTTTCTTCAAGAGTTGCCGCAAAACTAATCGGGACGGGGTATGGACGAAGAGAGCTTGCATAACAGAGTGAATATTTGATTCAGCTGCATTTAATTTTCTTAAAGCTAAATATCACTTTTTAGTTTGGAAGTTTAACTCTGATTTTTTTTGCTAACAAAAAGAAATTGGAAACTTGTGGAGAACAAATTTTGATTTAATTAAGTTATGCTCGCTTACTTAGGCCAAAGTAATATGAGATGTTTTCTAAGCAACCGACTGAATTCATTTGGACAGGATAAACTATAATTGCTTTTTTTAAACAAGGAGTTTGCTCAAAACGAAGTTCTATAAATGAATATATATATTTTTTCCTACCACTGTAAAAGATGAAGAAATAATTGTGCTCGGATATATTTTTTTCTCAAACATGTTTTTCAACAGTGCACAACTATCAATTTTTTTTTAAAAAGAACTACAGGGGTTCGAAGTTTTCAATTTGTCCAATTTGAGGTTAGTGTGTGCAATTTTGTCTCTTAAAGCTAAAACGATACGTTTAGTAATTCTTTAAGGGGTTACGCTAGGTTTTGGCAACTTTGTTGAGAATTTAGGAGTCTCAATTTATATAGCTTTGCTTTTTAAAGTTTTTTCAATTGATGATAAAGGGCAGTCGGATCAGCCACTGCTTCGCTCTGATACAAGAAATCCCGTTGTAAATATTGAAAAATTATAATTTAATTTATTTGCGTCAGAATTTTTGTATTGTGGGTTCAATTGGCAATGGCTTTAGAATGACTTGGTGTTCACGACTATACAAAAAATTGAAAATACCCAATCACACAAAAATATGAAACTACCCATAATCTACCGGGTTGACCTCCATAGACCGAAAATGCTAATCATACAGTTCCGTAAACCAAGTCTATGAAAAAACAATAATCGTACAAATTTCATACGTTTTGCTAAAATGGTGTCACCGAATTTTCCTAGAAATTTTTCCTGTTTTGATTAACAAGTTAGTGTTTTATATTAATTTAAGAAAACCCTAATTGTCAAACATTCAATTTTTATACATGCAATTTTTTTTTGTGTGCGAAACGTAGTCTGTAAACGCAAATTTCTTCATAAAAGTGAAAAGTGCAACGTTGATACAAGTTTTATTTTTAACAACTGTGATTACAAATAATTGTTTCTGAAGGCATGTCAAAAATCTATTTGCGATTCTAAATATTTCATTGTAGATCAATTTTGACATACCTTCGATTTCAATTTCCATTTGAAAGTTACATATCACATCATTGATTATGTTATTTATAATTCAAAATTTACGCATATTTATTTAGGAGGAAAATTGGCATTATATCAGTTATAATTGTCGAGCTCGAGACATAAAAATTTGAATTTACTGCGACCAGTCAACATATTTTTTGCTCAATTTTTTTTTGAAATTGAACGAAGGTATCTTTTTTGTTAGTTAAACTTGGATGGGCTCTTTTCCACTCCCCGCGTCTGATTTTCAGCATCTTATTTCAACATCAACGTCCTAATTTAATTTTGCCATGGTGTAAATTGTCATTTGTCATTTCGTTTTGTGAACAAATTGACTTATTTGAACAATTTTATTGTTCATACTTATTATTGCAACAACCCGTTTAGCCATATTAGCCTTCAAAAGTATAATGAGAATTAAAAATTGCAACTTGGAGGGGGAGGGGAGTGGAAAATAATCCTTTGATGTTCAGGGGGCGTGCAAATGTTCGTGTGGATCTTCAGAGTTTCCAGCTGTTTCTCATCATCAGGTCGAAGTAAGCATCGGAGTCTATGGAGGCACTGATACCACTGTAGTAGTTCAGGAACTCATCAAAAGTGATCTAAAAAGACCAAAAATATTTTAAAAAAATAAATGGAAGTCAAGATTTAGGGGCCAGGGATGTTGGTTGGTATCTGGCATTCAGTATAAAAATTGTCAGCTCCAGGCCTAGACAATCATCAGTATTTGCTGATTGTAAAAGCATGATTACAATTTCAAGCAACAACTTCGATTGAAACCACCACAAAAAGAACTTAACATGATGCCAAGTTCTTTTTTTTGGAAGTGATAATCAATGTTGCAGTGGTTTGAAATTGTTGCATTTTTTTTCGGAATCAGGAAACACGGATAAATGTAGGCCACGAGCTGTCAACTTTTCCAAACATTCACTAAAACACAAACCGATTGGTCAAACAAGATGATGAAATTTCTAATTTATTTTTAAAATAGATACCAAAAACTACCAAATACCTCAAAAAAAAACAAATGCATTATTTTTAAAATAATTTGTATATGTTTTTAATTATAATCGAAGAGTTTTAACTTGTGAATGTTTTCTAAACACAAAGATGACGGGCTTAGGTTCTTGAATAATTGTTCTGCTCATGTACCTCGATGCTGCCGAAATCTTTGGTTTGTCCGTCGTCGAACTTCTTGAGCCATTCGTAGAAGCACCTGTTGGAAAAGAAAATTTCTGAAGTTTTCTACTCCGAATAACAATTAACTGTATTCATAAACAATTCAGAGCAGCAAAACGCGTCTGAAAAACTCATGCAAAGTTTAGACAGTACCTGTCAATCGCCCCCATTCGCCTCAGTGATTCGGCTACCTGACTACCCAAATGATTCCCACTTTCTGGTAATATTTCAAGATATCAGTTCTTGGCTGGCTGACCTTAAGTTTTTCTAAAGGCGCCTTTGGCGCCATTATAGACTAACTTCGAGTGGAGACCGCGCGCCGTAAAAAACGCAGTTTTTTGGTCAAAACTTTCCAAGAAAGCCTAAAAATGTCTTGTTTCACTTGTTTTTTTTCAAAGTTTTGCCTGCGGAGTAGACAATTTGGGTCAAAACAAGGTTTTTGTAAATTTTGGGAGAGCTCGAAAAATCAAATTGGTCGACCTGAAAAAGAAGTACACAGAACTTCAATTTTTTGAAAACCTGCCCCCCTCGAGAAAATATTAGATCCAGCTCTGCTGTCAACCAAACTGGACAAATGCCTGGCAATCGAATGTAAACATTCTAACTAATTCCATTCCAAGACACACCTCTTTTTGGTCCACTCGCCGCTTTTGAACTTGGGGTTCTGGTTGAAGTTGTAGATGCCCTCCAGGTCATCCGGGGTGACGACGTTGTCCTTGCTCGTGTCCAGTTTGTTGAATGCCTCGTGCACCAGTCGCTTACGAGCCTCACTCATCGGCGGCTGACAAAAAAATCGGTTTTCGAAATCATTTTTTTTTGAATTTTTGCTTCTATATTTATTTACAAAATCTGCTGTGAATTTTTCTATTAGGGAAGTTTACTTTGTATTTGCCGTTGTTTAAGTTGTTCGAAAGTATGTGTTTGCCACTGTCATTCTCGTTTTTGTCCGCAAAATCAAGCGCTTCAAGGAACACTAGTGCGCTGGTCAATTGTGTCCCATATTAAGATCATTTCGCGATTGAATGTCCGAAAAAAATCAACGAGTACAAAGACGAAAACTATTGTGAAAGCGTTCGGGGGAAAACTTAAAAACAACTTGAAAAATGTTTTCTTTGTTCTAAACTTTCAAATCTAAAACATTGTGGACGTTAAAGGGCAGAGGGAACAATCACAGCTTTGCCTTGATCCCAGTAGTCTTGTTCATTTAATTTGGCGTCTTTTTGATTGAATTCAGCGTAATTTTAAAATTCAGCTCGCTTACCCTGATATGAGCGATGAGCTCGTCGAATATAATGCTGCCAGATCCGTCCCGGTCGAACATGCGGAAGAGGTTCTCCGCCTCCCCCTCATTCAAGGTCACTCCGAAGTCCCTCAGCCCCTTGAAGAACTCGGACTTGCTCAAACTGCGTGACCTGTCATCGTCCATGATTCGGAAAGCCCTGTGCAAAATTACGCGGCTTACTTTTCAGTTACGACGAAAAATCAATAAGCTAGAGAGATGGTAAGAGCAACAAAATTCAGTTCAGAACAAAGCTCTGTTAATAAAATCTTTTTTATTTGTACCGAAGTTCAGGCGCGGATCTAGGAATTTCTCGAGGGGGGTCTCGAACATGTTTAGGAACCTTTTTTTTAGGTCGACCAAATTGATTTTCTGAGCTATCCCAAACCACTATAAAGACCCTAACTTGACCAATTTTTCTGCGCCGCATGCAAATTTTGAAAAAAGGTCATAAAAGGCGTTTTAGGCACTTTTTGGAAAATTTCGACTAAAAAGTTGCGTTTTTTCGGCATGCGCTCCCGCCTCAAAATTAGTATAAATTGGCGCCCAAGGCGCCTTTAGAAAAATTTTAGGGTCAGTCAGCCAAAAATGGATATCTCAAAATAGTACAAAATGGGGACCCTTTGGGTTTGCAGGGGTTCGAACTGCCCTTTAAGTCCGCTACTGCAGGGGTTCGAACTGCCCTTTAAGTTACTTTGTTGGATTTACTCAATTTTTTGGGAAAGGAAAAGACTCATCGGAAAATGAGTTTAGATTCTAGTCAAAATTACCAAATAATCTTGGAAGAAATAGTTAGGTAATTTTTCTTACAAAACAAACATTCCTCAGCAATTATAAAACTTCCACTATTCATCAAATTTTTAAACCGTTTCTCTCTGCAAGTAGTCCAATCGTGTAGTTTTTGCATGCACTCCTCGTCTTAAGTCAAACAGAAATCAGCAGCCTCTGATGTGAGATTTGCTAAGTTTCTACTAGAAACTTGCAGAAGCTCTTCAGATTTCAAATACCAAAACATTAAAATCTGTGTGTATTTAATTACTTATAAGCTCCACATTTTTACAGGACAGCTATAATTGCTTGTCAGAATTCTTACATAATTCCTTAAAGAATTTGAATTCCAAAAAGACTCGAGCACTAAGCTCATGTTATAGGGCTCAAGAAAAATATCAGAATTATTTGTTCAGATTGAGAGTAAACGCCTATATTGCAACCTTTTTGTTCCGAATCTCGTAACAAAATCATTGGAATATTTGTGCTTCGGTGTAATTTTTTTCCTAGGACAAGATTCAGCTTTTTAAGTAGCTATTTTTGACGGAATTTTTTTCATATCACTCAAAAAGTATTTTATTCGAAAGACCTTTCACATGTGCCCATTTTTCATAAACTTATGGGGGTTTAAAGATTGCCATTTTGGCCAATTTGGAACAAATAGCATGCGATTAACGCGTAAACAGAGAATTAATCCGTCTTAAAAATCGTTTCAATTGCGTTGAAGGAAGTTTATTTCTCATAAATGATTTGTGTCTAAGACTATTACTTTGTATTTTAAATAGGTTGTGGGGGATAATCTTCATAAGAACCCAAATTCAAAAAATTGTTCTTCTTATTTTATTGCATTTAACTTTTTCACAGACCTTAAAAAGCATTCGGAACATTCACATCTTCGCCCTGATACGAGCAGTCTTGTTTTCATTTGCATTTAATTCAATGTTTTTCCATCGGGAATCAACCATAAAAGCAGAATACAAAATAACTGATAATGCAGTTCTTATTTGTAAGTACTGATAGAAAGAAGTTTAAAAACGAAAACACAAAAGACCTTAGAAAGAAATGAAAAGTTCCTTCAATTCTTTTTGAACCACAAATACATTAAAGAAAGCTTAGACGGAACTATTTTTTGCGTCAAATAAGTCATTCAGACAAAAAATTTAGCAAAGAAATGAATACATAGATTTTCAAAGTTATCAAAACTACCAAAACAAAAACTTATTGACTGGTTAACTGTTTCTTTAGTTCATAAAGAAATTAAATTAACTTCCGAATATGCTGTTTAAATTTAAGAAAGAAATTCATCTCGTTGAGTTTTTCAAAAAATTAATGCATTGTGTTTTTTCAAGCCAAACAAAAAACGTTATTATATGATGTTGATTCAAAAAATAATCAAATAGAACGCATTTGACAAACCCGAAAAGTTTAATGCTTTGACGAACAAAATCGAACCAAATCAAAACGTTTTGACAAACCAAACCAACTGTTTCAAATACTAAAAACAGTTAACCAATGCAAACAAGTGAATGCGTCGGTAACTAACACCGAGCCAAAATAAAATAGTCGTTTAAATTGCTAAAAACTTGTATAAAAACTTGTAATAATTTGTATGTCAATAAACTTTTGGTCAAAAAAAACCAAAAAAAAAAACAAAAGGAAAGTTTCATTATTTTGATTTTTTTGTTCTTTATTTATTTTCCACAATCTCTGTAAAAATATTAGGGATATTTTATCTGTCTGGTTGCATTATAAAAGGTAACGCATAGAAATTTCCTCAATAGGAGGCGGACTTTCCTGAAGTAGAAAAAAAACATTTAATTGTGTATTTTTTTGCAATGAGTGATCTTTATCAGAAATAATCAAATGGAGTAAAGCAAAAAAAAGACCCATTTCAGAAGGTTTGTTGCAAAATCAGTTTTTCAGACAAAAAATTTTAGTCTCAAGTTTGACTAAAGTTTAACGATGTTATTCCAAAATTGTGTAAAAAGCAAACTATTTGGCAACTATACCCGTATAATATTTGACAACTTTAGTCACAGTATAATAGAAAAGGGGATGCAAAAAAGGCCACCAATGTTTTTCTTCTGACCTGGCGAATCTCTTGATGCCGGTCTGTCCTCCTCTGGCTAGAATGGCCAGTCGCATTCTCTCCAGGGGGTCCTGTGCCCTCTGCATTCTGGCAGCCGCCTGCTTCTTCAACTCATTGTTCAGATCCTCGTCCGCTGCAGACGCCCTGATGTAAACAAAAATGCACCCAAAAATTAAACCAAACTTGACAAAAAATTGGGACCAAGTTAACATCCTCTCCGTTTTTCAAATGGTTGGAACAACAAGAAAACCAAGACAAAACAATCGTCGTTTAAAATGCTACAAACTCGTAATAATTGCTAAAAATTATATTATTTTTTGCCTTTAACTCACTAAGTTTTGGGTCAAAAATGATAAAAACTTTTAAATGGTTTTTTGAATCTTTTTCTAATTTTTATCCTCCACATGCTATCTGAAACTTCGAGGGATTGGTTACACAATAAAAAATAACGCACAGAAATACATAAAACTTACATAAATTCGAGGTACTTTCGTTTCTTTTAATCCGTAGGTTGATGTTTCGACCCTTCTTCGAAGCTGGAAATATCTGAATCAATTCGGTGACAATGATGAACTTTATTAGCACAAATATTTCGAGAGTCGACCGATTATCAAACCTTTGAGCTCACAATTATTTTTTAACACAAAGAAAATGGCACACCTATATTTTGTAGAAGGTCACTTGAAAACAACGACTACAAAGTAATTTTTTATCACACAATTTGAATTTTACAATTTAAAAAAAGAACGGTATGTACTTGAATTTTTTAACATGCACTGGTATTGGTTATAACCAAAATCTGGTTCTATTGTGTAAATACCTATTCTTTATCAAAAGAGCACGCTTTTTATTACGCATTCATCTGATTTTTTGTTTCTGGTGTGTGTTTTTTTCGCATTTTTTCTAATTTTTTTCCAGTTTTCCTTTTTCCTTGTTTTTATCCGCTGTGTTTATCTGCATGTTGCCAGGTGGATTAAATATAAACATTATTCTTTTCTCGCTGATTGCCTAGTAAAGGTATTTTGAGATTTGTAAAATTACACAAGACGTTGGCTCATGCAAAAAAAAGGACGTCTTGGATGCAGTAAATTCTGCCATTATGACACAAAAACGGAATATTCTACCAATTTCTACACAGCTTTTGCGTTGTAAGAAAAATCACTGTGATTTTTACATTTAAAATCAGGACATTCAAGTTTAAATCCGACTGAGCTGAAGCATGTTTTCATATGCGTCTGAAGCTAACGAACTTGGCCAATTGGCTGAAGATAATGAAAAAAAGGGTCAAATGAGAGAAAAACTTAAGTTTCTTTTTCCTTTTAAACTTGCAGGGGGAGGGGGTAGCAAAAATTGGATGACTCATACACTTCAAAACTGAGGCTTTTTTTCAGTTGATCGTAAGCAAAAACTCAATTTCGGATTGGCTGAAATTTCTATGCCATTTGAAACTTCTGTCAATGACTAGCCTTTATCTGGTTCCTTTCTTGGTAAAATTAGATTAATAATCAAAAATTTGCAAAACAGATATCGAAAAATTGACAAAGAGAGAAACTTTATCATAATTACACAAAATTTAATTTTTACACAGTACCAAAAATATGATTTCACGAAAAGTAAACAAAAGTAAATCGATTCCCTTACCACCCAGAGTTTCGCTCCTTGGAAACATTTAACACGATCCATTATCGACCAATTATTCGGTACTTTTTGTAGGCTCTTTGGCGCAAGTGCATAAGCGATTTTGACGGGAAGCGCGTAAAAACGCATAATTTTGGTCAAAACAATCCCAAAAACGACACTTTGGTCAACAAAAATAAAAAAATTGCTTGCGGCGTTGAAATTTTTGTCAAAACAGGAATTTTTTTATGTTTTGTCCTTGATTGTCCTGGTTTAAGATGGAAAGATGTGTATAATTCAGTATTTTAACAGTATATTTTGAACTACATGCCAAACTACAATGTGACTACAATTATATCAAAAGATTCTACAGGTCCATGACAAGTCGTATTTTATAAATTGCAAATTTTGTTCAGGGGTCATCGGAGTTTCCAGCTGTTTCTCATCATCAGGTCGAAGTAAGCGTCCGAGTCTATGGAGGCACTCACACCACTGTAGTAGTTCAGGAACTCCTCGAACGTTATCTAAACCGAGTGTGAATAAACTAGCCGAAGTTTAAACCAAACGGAAATGCGCAGAATATAGACGAAAAGTTTCATCCATATCAATGAATTTGCATAACTTTCAAGAAATTACATATAATTGCTACATAACTATTATTTAATACTAACAAATTTTCGGCTGATTGATACTTCGGCTGGTTTATATACTACCATCTAAACTAAAGAGTCTTATTTGGGAAGACCTATTAAAAAAACAGCCTAGTAAGCAGACAAGATTTTGAATTTTCTTTTATCAGAAAACCTTTGCAAAGCAAAAAAATTGACCAGCAATTTTATCCAGCCGAGTTGTTTTCAATAACACAATCAGCTCGAAATATGAATAACTTATAACAAAATTTAGGCCTATGTTCTCTTTAAACTGAGTCATAACGTTTGCACTTGACTGGTTTATTAACAAAGATTTCACTGCAATTTATTTTTTTGCCTTACAATAGAATCAAAAGCAAAAATAAAACAACAAAAACGTTTAAAAAACGATTAGGAATGATTTCAGGACAACTTAAAAATTGTTGTCAACGAAAACCAGGAACTCTGGCAGTTTTACGATGAAATTTAGTCAATCCGTTGCTTTTATCATAAAAAATTTTGTTTAGAACTGGCTGATTTGTTCATATAACGTGCTCGTTCTAACAAAATTTTTTAAAAAAACTAATGCAAGCAACCGAAAAAGATTAGACAAAAAAATGGATTCAAATCGATTTCATTTCGATCTTAAATTAAAACTAAGTGAAACAAAATAAATAGTATGTAATGTAATCTAAACCCATCATTTTTATTTTTAACAGTTTTATTTGATTTAGTTTATTTTAAGTGAAATGAAAATAATTCAAAATTTTAGATAATTTCCCCCTGTTTATACTAATTGTTTACACGCATCCAGCTCCAAGCGTTAATAATCGATTGTTATATGATTTTAGTACCAGTCTTGAAAGAATTCCAAAATTAAATTGATTTTTATCAGATAATAATCGATTATAATTTCTTTTTTCGAAATCAAAATTAATCAATTATAAAACATTATAATAGATTGTAATCGATTATTTTTACTGCTTATAATCCCTTTTGTTTGCCCATCTTGTTTTCGACCTTCCACCTGAAAAGCTTATATTTTATGATTTTTGTAGACGTTCGCTTTTGTACAAAATCGAAAGTTTGTTATAACAGTTTTTGAGTCAATTCAAATATATAATGTTTTTTTTTCCATTTCTTCTTGATTATAATTGTTTCATGATGCGCGTTTTAAGTTTTTTTGACGACCAAAATATCAGCACACTGCTTTAGTTTCATGATTTGTATAGAAGAGTTATATTTTACATACCGCGGGATTTTTTCAACTATTATGAAGGGATCTCTTCGAAAAAAAATTTTCGTGGTAAACTTTGTGTTTAGAAGAATCAAAGAGTGACAAAACATCTCACTTTTAGAGATTTTTGAGAGAGAGAAGGATTACAAATTATTATAACAGATTTTAATTGATTATAATGTCACGGAAAATGCTATTATTATAATGGATTATAAATCGCTTAAAACATCGAATTTTGGCGCTTAAAATTCAATATAATTTTGATAAAAGTACAACTATAATTGTAATATAATCGATTATTTTCTCTTTGTACTGAGTGCGGGTAATGGTTTCAAACAGACTATTTACAGAGTTTCTGGCATGTTCTAGTTTGGCTTTTTCGGCTAGTTCATGCAATTCAAAACTTAATTTAAAACACAAAATTAGGCTTTTCAGTTAATTTTTCGTGCTTAATCAAGAAAAGAAAACAAAATACTAGATAAATTAAAATTGGAAAAAAATTGATTGATTGCAGATAATTCTTCAATATTTTTGTTGATTTATTCAAAAAACTGCTCAAAACTTGATCTCAAATTTGACAGTGAAAAAAAATAGCATAAACTCACTTATTATCAACAAGAAAACTCTTGTATTGTAAAATTTGTTTATTATCTGGAAAAAATTAATGGTTTGCGTACCCCCCGGGTTGAGCTCACATTGAAAATTAGCGATGAAAAAGTGAAAAAAAAACAAGCATCGCCATAGGTGAATTAACAATTTTCATTGCCACAATAGCAAATTTTATTGATGGATTATCGCTAATTGAGCGTTGGAAAATTATCATTTTTTATCGACAAATTATCGCTTATTTAGCGCTGGAAAAAATAATCTGAAAAAATTGCAATGAATTCCATCTACAAGCTCTATGAACTCACTCATTCTAAATCCACATGCAACTGTCAGGAAATTATTTAAAACGGTTATTTAAAGCTACAGGCAAGGAGGCTAAAATGAAGACATAGTAAACAAAGAATACATTTTAAAAAAACTTTTTTTTTCAATTCTACAGGACCTGGAGAATCTATTAAATTATATAAGAAAAACTCTAAAAAATACTTTTTGTTTAGCATGTCTTCATTTGATGCCACCTTACATGTCATCCTTGCTACTATCAAATGGCATCATTCGAATGCTGTGGGTCCACAGAATCTATTTTGAAAAGTCTGCACCAAAAAAATATGAAACCAAACGTTGTTTTTAACGAATTAAGCAAAAATGGCTATTTTATCTCAAAACAAGACACATGACAAAACTTTTTTTTTCAAATCAAAAATTTGAAGAAAAAAAATTCGATTGAAATTAATGTATTTTTTATGGTAATTTTGTGGTTTATTTTTTAGCGAGTAATAAGCTACAATTGTACCGAAAAATTACGTTTTTCAGCAATAAATTAGCAATTTTTTATCGCTAATATAGCACAGTTTTTTTGATTTTTTTAAATTGATAAATCATCGATGAATTATCGCTAATTTATCAATTTTTTTCGATAAATAAGCGCTAATTAATTTAGCTATGAAATAGCACGGAAAAATCCATGAAAAATCTTACTAAGAATGGGTTAGCAATTTTTCATCGATATTTATAACTGGGACTTCAACCCGGGTAAACAACTCTCCTCGAAAAGCTAATGAGCACAATTTGACCCAGTTTTTGGAGCAAAAGTAAAACTTAGGTAAATATGATATGTTTTTCAACCTACAAAATATTTTGAATTTACTATTGAACATGAGTGGTAGTTACGAACATTAGTGATAACTCCGCTCCATCGTTATCAATGGTTTCTCACACCGCTTTGAGAAAGAAGTTTGAAGTTAGAATTAGTATACACTTCAATACAAAATGTTCAATCACTAAATATTGACGGGAAAGTTTTTCTAAAGATTTGCACTATTCAACAAGCGGGAAGTCTGAATGATGAAAATGGGCATGCTCAAAAAACGTGAAAATGCTCAAACAAGCAGCATGCTCAGAAAAAAAGGAAATGCCCACAAAAAAATATGCTCAAAAACATGCTCAAAAAAGGAAAATGCCCACAAAAAGAGCAAAATCAAAAATAGGAGCCTGTTCAAAAAAGGAGCCTGCTCAAAAAAATGAAAATGCTCAAAAAATAAGCATGCTAAAAAGGAATAAAGGAAATCAACTACTACGTGAACTGACCTTGACCTGTTCTCTGTCGTCTCCATCGTCGAAGTTTCGGAGCCACTCAGTGAAGCACTTTGTGGGACTCCACTCGCCACTCTTGAACTTGGGATGTTCTCTGCAGCTGAAGATGCCTCTGATGTCCTCGATGTCTACTAGTCCATCCCCGCTTCTGTCTATTTTGCGGAAGGCCTCGTGAATCAACACTTTCCTGGCCTCACTCATGGGCGGCTGAAACGTCATAAAAGAGAATTGAGCAGTTTTAATTTTTCAGGAATGCAGCAATTTCTTCGAGCCCCAAACTTTTCAAAAGAGTCTGAAAACATTTCTTCCAAAAAATTAGAATATTTGCAAAATGAGGTTAAATTAGGATTCAGACAGAACTCTGAAGTCAAAATGTCCCACTTCGAAAAATTTCTGCGCATGCCATTTTCTGATATGATGAGCATGATTTGAAAAATTCCTAATTTCTGGTATCTCAAAAATGTTGTTGTTCCGACCCCTTCACGAATAAATTGAAAGAAACTACGAGTTAGCTTTTATAATTTTCTTCCCGATTTTGCTAGCACAAAACAGTGCGTACGTATTTAAGTTCACGAAGAAAGTGGTCTATCAATTTTAAAAAAAAACGGGTTTAATTTTTTCCAGTTTTTTTCCCACTGTAAAGAGTTCCGAATTTTGAATTATTTCTGCTATTTTTACCTGTTTCTAATGCTTATTAACCATTACAATGCTCTCTCGCTACCTCGCAAGCTAATAAAACAAACATGAGGTAGCAAAAAGGTTTTAAGAAATAAGGATAATTATATATATTTTTTTTATTCCCATTTTAAATTATTGCAAAAATAAGTGTTTTCGGAACATTTTGTCACTGGCATAATCACTGCTAATTATAATTGCTAATTATAAAATGCAATTTTGCACCCACTCTTAGATGCGCTATGAACTCGTCGAAGCTGATTTGGCCACTATGGTCCCTGTCGAATCTGGAGAACAGAGCGAGATTCTCCTGGTCTCCGAGACTGACTCCGAACCTCTTGATACCCACACTGAACTCTTCTCGGCTCAGAGAGTTGTTTCTGTCTCTGTCGGCTATGTTGAAACTCCTGAAAAATTTGCGAATTCAGTATAAAAAAAAAGAAATTTGAATATAACTTGAGTATATTTGGCTTCAAATGACTTCATTTGAATATAGAGCTCTCTAGCACTCCAGCATCGTCAGATCGTGCATTTCATCCCCTGCCATGGCAAAGATACTGTACGAGGACAAGCTCTCACTTCACCTCTAGCTTCAGGTCTACCTCAGCCTGAGCACTTACGGCTGCAAAGTGGTACCACGTGGAAGTTCTAGATGCAAAAAACGGCCTTGAGTTGCAAAAATTAGCTTCGCTCAACAAATAACTCAGTCTGGAATGTGGGAAATAAGAAAAACGGACCATCCTTAGACAGCTGGATGGCCTTTTATAAATCTTCTGTGAATTGCAGAAATTAAAAAAAAACAACCTTGCTTCTTCCTACTTCATGAGTGATTGGAACAAAAATTATTTCTAAAACAATTATTATATAGAAAAATAAAACATTTTTTCCAATTCTTTTTTGTTTCGGCCAATCATGGTGTATGATAGAACTACGATACAAGGTGTGTTTTGAACATGCAAATCCGCAATTTCAAATTAAAAACAAATAGAAACGAGGACTATAACAAAATGAAGCCTTTTATTAGCAACTCAGATATCAAAAAAATATGTTTTAAAAGAATTGTCTGGTGTCCAGAAAAACTGGCCAAAACTTTTGCTGATGTAACACTACGTTCTTTGGGAAGTTGTCCAGAGAAAGGCATGGATTTTTAATTTTAAAACAATTTAAGCTTTTTATGTCAATTCTGTCGATAACACATGAAAAAAAGTAACAAAAATTGTAAATTTTTTCAATATTGTTTTTTTTTTAATTTAAATTAAATTTTCAGCAGAGAATGATCAATGCTCAAAACTATCCGTAAAACTGTGAAAAAGTTATTTAAAACTAGCAGAAAAATTCTATCCACGAAATTTTTGTGCAAGTTGCCAAAAAGATTTAGCCTTTAAACTCAATCTTATAAAATCATTCATTACAGTATAAAATCAATAATGTTTTTTTAAAGTGGAGAAAAGGAACAAAAACACGTTAATAGTCTACTAAAAAAAATAAACGGACCTGTTTTTTGGAAAACTAGTTTTAAAATGTGGAAGTTTCATATATAGCTGTATATAAATCAATTCTAAACGGACTTAGCGAAGCGCTTGATGCCAGACTGTCCCCCTCTGGCCAGAATAGCCAGTCTCAGTCTCTCCATCGGGTCAGTGGCTGTGTGTTGCATCCGGTTTGCTCTCTTTCTCAACTCAATGTTGCGATCTTCATCTGCAGCTGAAGAAGCCCTGAAACAACCACTCAAGGTCATTATCGGCCCGAGAAAACGTTTTTATTTTCTGTGTTTGATTTTATATTTTTCAATGGTCGTTATTTGAAAACCTAAAGTGAAAATCCGAAAAAAAATTCTGTGATAAGCTACATTGTTTATCATTACTTAAATTTGAGTGCAAAAAAAATAACGGACATTTTACTTCAACTTAAATTTGAGTAATGCTAAGCAATTACCACAAATAGACTTCAGATGATGTCGAGTAAAATAATATATACTGGAAACATTTTAGCTATAAATATTTGAAAATGTTCACAAAATTCTCCGAGTGTCAAGAAACTAATGCATTGATATTTCTGCTGTATCAATTTTACAACTTGGATCACGAGCCTAAAGATCGCTCATTTTAAACGTATAAAAAGATTCAAATTAGTGATATTATTTAGAATAAAGCTAACCATCTGCGTACTGAAAACCTAGATATTGAATTGTTTAAACAACTTTGGATTTTTTGGCGCTTAAACCAGTGTTAACCAGAAGAATATATTACAAAAAATATTTCAGGAAGCGAATTCAATGTGTTTAAAAATTAGCAATTCAATTGATAATTTGAACTATATTTCTACTATTTTAATCAAATGTATCTTTGCTTTATTGTTCCGAGTTTCGTTACGGAAGTAACGGAATATTTGTGCTCGGGGTTGGTTTTTTCTTCAGACAAATTTCAATTTTTTTACTGGCAATTTTTGACGGAATTTTTTTTTATCATTAGAAAGCTATTGTTGTCCTGAGCTTAAATTTGAAAAGATATTTTACCTGTGATGATTTTTCGTAAATTTATGGGCGTTTAAAGATTGCCATTTTGGCCGGTTTGGGACAATTAACGCGCGATATATTTCGCGCTAATAACGCGTAAGCGAGATTTAATCCGTCTTAGAAATCGTTCCAAATTAGTTTAAGCAGGCTTATAACTTTGTACTTAATATGACGTGTGGTGGTGTTTTTACCAACAATCTCTATTTTTTTTCTGAAAACTTTTAAGTTTTGTTTTAATACATTCAAATTTTTTTCTAAAAATTATGTAAAGCCATTTTTTATGTGATCCGAATGATTTCACAAACCTTCCGAAAAATGAAGAGAAAAACAGATATAGAGTCTTTGCTGACTAGCCAAATTTCGTTCGAGAGAGCAGGGAGTATAATAAGACGAGCATTTATAGGCCGTGAAAACTTTTCTCTCCAGGAAGGAAAGTGCTTCATCTTTTAGTCCTTCAATGGCAATAAAAAGAATAGCAAAGAATCATAGTCTAAAATGCAAGAAATTTTTTAAAAAGTTAGAAACATTTTTCAAACTAGACTTCATTTTTTTGTTTCGTTTCTTTGAAGAAATTTGGAAACGAGTCTGATAAAAATTCTAAAGCTCTAAGTTTTCTTCTTTTTTCTCTTTCTTGCCACAACCAAAAATGCACATAAATGAAAATTGTTTTTTTTTTACCTTCAAATTTTTTGAATTTTTGCCATCGGCATTTTATGAGTAGCTTGCTCATCCATCGGCTGCTCTTGTTTAGTTTTTGTCTTTGTTTTCAATTTTTTGGGTGTTAGACAGCAGTCCAGATTTTACTCAGTGATACTATTACAATTCTAGATATTTAAAAGCCAATGCCTTTTTGAACTTATTGTCATTGAAAAAAACTGTTTACACTGACTTCAACGTTGAAAAAAGTATGACCGTTTCAAGTTCACGCACTGTTGATCACTGTTTTGTGGAATCCAGAGATCACTGAGAACTATTCAGACAAGGAATTTGCCATATTATTGAGCCATATTTTATGTCAAATTTTACGGCATTTACTGGCGGATTTAATATGTTAATTTCATTTGTCATTGGAGTGCAAGGATGATGGTTGGTATAGAACCCATTTAGGAATTTTAATTTTAATTTAGGCTAACAAAATTTTGCACACTATTTAGAGATAATTGAACGTTTTTATCGATTTATATATTTTTAAATTAACGTGACTTCTGAAAACAAAATGAATCCTTGACTTTTGCAAATAAAGTGGTTCACTTTTTGTAGGCAGCTGGTGAGGCGATAATTCGTAACAGGCGACAATTTTTAACAGTAGCAGTTTTCCTTTCTTGCCGGATGTAAGCGCAGCGGAATGAAGCGGAGTAAGCGTATTCTACTTGCCAGTGCCTTGTTAGAATTTTTGCACGTTACGAAATGTACCCTGTTACGAATTGTCATCCTACCAGACAATTTTAAAAATCAGATGCCAAATTCAAAATTCAGATACATGTGTTTGCTACTAACAGTCAAAAAGCCTTCATTTGATTTTGTTTGGATTTGAAGTAAGGAAACGAAAAGGTTTGTCAGCAAACCCAAAAACGAAGGCTTTTCGACTGTTAGTAGCGTGTATCTGAAATTTGATAACTTCGAGTCTGATTTTTAAAATTGTCCATAAAAATCGAAAAACTTGATTCCAAAAAGTTAGGAATCAAGTTGTTATTCAAAAATCAAGCTTAATAGTTAAATTAGCCAAAACTAAATTAAACCATAAAAACATTCAAAATTTCTACGCAATCAGTAAAACGAATGAATAATTGATTAAAATTTGTGATATGTTTTTTTTAAAATATTGTGATATTTGTTTATAATTGAATCAAAACAGATTAAATTGATATTTTTAATCAGTTTTCTTCGATGATAATTGATTCTAGTTAACTTTTGTCCGTAACAGTTGAAGTTTTGTATGAATTATGAATTGTATGCCAAAACTAAATAAATCCTTAAAAACATTCAAAATTTCTACGCAATCAGTAAAACGAATGGATAATTGATTAAAATTTGTGATATGTTTCTATAAAATATTGTGATAATTGCTTATAATTGAATCAAAACAGATTAAATTGACATTTTTAATCAATTTTCTTCGATGATAATTGATTCTAGTCAATTTTTGTCCGTAACAGTTGAAGTTTTGTATGAATTATAAAAAAAACTTTATCAGGTAATTTTTGTCCCAATTTCAATTTTGCGATCATATAAGCTGAAAGATGACAAGATATCTTATGTTTAGAGATTACTTTTCAGCAAAACTATAATCCATTATGAAGTATGTTTGGGTTTTGATAACAGTTGCTCAAATAAGAAATTCTAAATTAATATGATAGATTTTAAAAGCTTTTCCACAAAAATTGAAATAGTTTATAGTTTATTTTAATTTAATTCAGTGTCTTGAAAAATATGTTAATATAAAGGATGATAAATCATATAACTAAACAGCATTAATAAAAAAGTACAGCTATATAAAGTTAATTAAATCAATTTTTTTCTTCTTTTTACAGAGTCTCCTGGTATTTTGTGAGCATATATCTTTTTCTGCATCGTTTTGAATCGTTTCAAAACATCTCTTTTCAAAACAACGTGACTAATTTCGTAGTTTACGCATGTATCATTTCGCGCATGTAGTTTGTGTGAATTTCTTACAAGTTTTTATTTCAGGACTAAGCATAGTGAATGAAGAAGGAAGCCGCATCAAGGAGTGCGACTAAAACTGACTATTTATAGCTTTTTAAATCACCTTACAAGGAAGAATTACAAAAGGAACAATTTAAAAAAATCCAAAATAAAACAAGACTGCTGGTATCAGGGTGGAGCCCAGAAAGTACCGACTGCCTTTAAGGTATATGGAGCGGTAAAATTTTGAAAAAATTAAATGTAATAAAAGAAAAATTTTTTTTTTTCATTTAAGATATATTTTGTGAAAATCATCCCCCAAACGCCATTTAAAGTACAAATGATAAAATTCGGCCCTAGTAACAAACAAGACTGCTCGTATGTCAAGGCAAAGCCTTGAATGTTCTGACTATGAACCTTAATCTTTATCGAATAGTTTTATTGGAAAAGACAATACTGAAAATCTTTGAACTTTGGACATTATCTTCTCAAGTTTAAGCTGAGGACAACAATACCGTTTCAATAATAAACAATTTTTGTCAAAAATGGCTAGGTAAAATGTCGAATTTTGTCTGAAGAAAAAAACCCACCCGAGCACAAATATTCCGTTAATTTGTTCGGAATATTTGTGAATATTTACTTTGTAAATCAGCAGTATTTTTGCTTGAGATTTTTGTTTAAACTTTTCTTGCATAAAATTTAGCAAGTAAAGTTAGTAAGAAGAAGAAAAATGTTGAAAAGCAGTTTCCAGGTTTTATTTAAACAACTTCAAATCTAGTTTCATCGAACTGATAAGGTTCAGATGATTTAAAAAATTTTTATGACTAATAATTTCAATAATTTTTTGTTCATTGTTCAGTTAAACTCAAAAACTAAAAAGTCAAAAAAACAAGATATTAAAAAAATAAGTAGATTTTAAATCCTGAAGAAGATGAGAAAAAAAGTGATAAACTGTTAAAAATGTATTTAAGTTCTTCAAGACAATTTGATTGTTCAAAAGTTCCTTTTTCGGAGATCAGCGGAAAAATGACGAATTTTTGGAACAATATCCAACAAACTTAGGAAACGGAAAACTTCTTTTTATGTCTAATAAAAAAAGTCTTGGTAGTCTTTGCTTGCCGCTGGAACTGTTTATCGACACTTGCTTTTGTTTAGAGTTTTGAGTACAGAAATAAAAAAGTCTGAAACCTAAAATCAAATTAAAAAAGTAATTGGTTTTAATTTGGTTTTGCGTACCAATTTGGCACAAAAACTCCGCTCAAAATTTGCTTTGAAACATTTTCAAACTATAAACTCACATTTTCGATGCTTTTAAGAATGTAAAAGAAGTTCGAAGAGCCAATTAATAGAAACAATATTATCTTGTGGTAGTTAATCAATCAAAAATATGGTTTGTTAAACGCATTTTTTCATATCGTGATAATCTGACAGATCTGTTGATGTATTGAGTGATCACGAAATATAGAAATAATACCGAAAAATTACAAAAACAAACAGATGTTTATATTTTTGATGTTTTTAGAGTGATAAACATCACCAACAAGACATAAATAGTTATCTCAATATCCTTTTATTTTCCTTCTTTTTTCGGTATGAAATTATCTCTTTGATGATCCGAAAACAGTCGCATCAAAAGCAAAGCTATGAGACTCCGCAGGTGGTTTTTTATTTTACTGAGGTTTTCAGCCGAAGAAAAATCATAAAGTGAGGAGAAATTTGCTTTGTTTTATGTTTATAAAGAATGCTTGGACTTCCAAGCTGAAATTTAGGATTTTTTATCACCACTTTGTTAAAATTTAGCTATTGAATCAGTGAAAA